CCGATCCTCGACTTCATTTATTTCAGTAACAATAACCAATCAGCAAGTAAATCAACAATGATGTAACGAACAAAATTTGTGCAGTCATTCAGACATTTCATCCGCTCAAGCAGATATTCAAGCATGGTTGTAATTAGGCCTCGTTTTCGTGGTTTTGCATGTTATTTGTCAGTGATGAATGTAATATCATAATTGCCATTACTGTATATATATATTTCGAGGAGGTTAAGTTCAGGTTAATCCAAAATTATACCCGTAATAGCTGCGGTAGACTAGGCTAAAATTCTTCTTCTAGTGTCGTGGCATGTTCATGCCGTAGGGCGTAGATGAAATCATGGTCTCCATAAGCTTCGGTTCATTGTCTTTTCCCTGAGTCCGCTGGTATTATTGACACCTGTTGCCTATATGTGGCGAGGGGCTGCTGTTGATCCCGTTTCTTTAGCACATATCAATTTCAGTAGCCCTATAGGACATAGGTAGTACCACCAGATGCTTTCAGCTACCAGTCCTGGAGGGCTCCATTCAACGCTGACCCAGAGCATCGGTTGGAGCACGGTCTGACATGGGTTACATCTACAAGTGCGTGACGACGGTCCGGACAGGCGAGTTAGATGCCACTTGCGTCTGGGAAGGTAATGACAACCCACCCCCATGTATTCTACCAAGTTCAAATCATGAAATATATTCAAAATTGAACCAGATCAGGCTAAAATGCATAAGACAGAAATTCAGACACTGAGTAATTCAAACGACACATAGTGAAATATTTTAAATAAAAATGACGGTATTGAATATTTAAACCAGCTAACTCTCCAAACCACTCTCAAAATAAGCATAAATTAAAGTGTAGGGAGGGTTTACCTGGAGTCAAAGGTCGGCGAAACATTCATTCGTTTACTTATTAAAATATATACTTACTTGGCTAATTTTGTAACTGTCCAAAGAAGCAATGATGGCATTATTAAAATTTGACAACGGTAGAGTCGAAATGTGGCAACATTGCGGCAATTCAAATACTGTATGACATTATCTATAGCAGCGTTTCCCAAACTTTTTCGGCCACGAAACACTTACACTTTTTATCTCGCCTCGCGGAACACCAAAAAATAAAGGGGTGAAATTGATAAAGATAAACGGTGTAATATAACGGTTTCCAATGGATAGTGGGGAGTTGCCAAATGCGCCGCGAAAACTAACAGAATAGTGTTAAAACATACCTAATATACCTTTTTATGTCTATTACTTTCCATTGCGTAGTGTTTGCCTCTAATGTTACGTCTAATGAAGATAGAAGCCCTTACTACAATTTCGCGAGCTGCAGACCTGCAGTTTTTTTTTACCTGATGAATCGAGTTTAGCGAGCATGAGCAAGATGGAGAGATGGAGGAAGAAGAGTTGACTTTTTGCTTATACTCTTTAGTAGTACCTACTTGTTTGCCTATAGCAAAACCAAATGGATTGCTGTAAACTTGATAATGAACTTTACAGTCAAAAAGGTAGGCCGACGGTTAATAAAAATGCCACTACCTACCTTAGTTCGTCCGCTTTAGGCCGACGGTGACGCGAAATTAAACGGTCAGTTGGGCGACAACTTCACGATTCTTAGATCGCCATGGTGACCAATTTGGACATATTATTGATTCCTTTCCACGGAACACTCGGAAGACTCTTGCGGAACACAGTTTGGGAAACGCTGATCTATAGTATAGAAGGGGTCTCAAAGTCGATTTACCTAGGGGCCACTCTATGCAGAGGCTTCATCAGGTTTTCCACAATAAAAGCTTAGTTTAGAATATTCTCAAATTACTTTATTTTATTCAAACACAAAACAAGTTGAAAGCATGTTAGAGAATTAAAAAAAGAGAACAATTTATTGAGTATTTCAAAAGCATTTTTCCCTACATTTTATATTTTTGTGCTTTAATTTTGTGTTATTTTAAGCCAAAAAGTTACATAATTATTTAATGCACAAATACTCATCAAATTTATTACCAAGAGCTTTTGATAAATATTCCACAGCACAGTCTTATGTAGACAGCCATCACACCCGATCATCAGCCCAAGGGTCCTTTTTGTTACAAGATAGAAAGTACTCTGAGATATACCGGGGTCAAAATTTGGGATGACTTACCTTCTAGTATTAAAGACTCAACATATCCAAATTTTAAAACTCAGTTACGCAACCATTTACTATCCTTATATTCTTCATAAATGTGCATTGCATTTTCCAATATCATAGTTTTATTTCAGTGTTTAGTGTCTCCTAGACATGATTGTTGATCTGTACTATTTTTTCATGTAGCAATACAATTACATGTACATTACATGTTCATTGAGGTATTTTTACTGTCATGAAGATATCTTTTCTCGTTAGCTACCAGTTTCAATACTGGTATTTCTTTGGTATCGTACTAATACTAAACCTAATATGTATTGTCTAACTTTTCCCATAAACGTTAACCTAAAAGTGCCGGAACAGCACTGCTTCGAAATAAAATAGGGGAATTCCCTAATTCTACAAATAACAAGGTGTTATTATTTATCGATCTTGATCGGTAAGTATGTTGATAGGTATTTGTCTGTCTGTATGTCTGTGTGTTAGATGCACGCCATATCTCACGAAAGCGAGGTTCAATCTGCTCCAAATTTTGCATGTGCATTCATCTTAGCTCGGATCAGAAGCCTATTGATTTATTGATATTGAATGGATGATATTGGATGGATTATGTCGTATAATTAGCGAGTTATTAATTAATTAGTGATGGGACACACGGTGTCACCACGGAGTAAGACCACTGTTTGGGGGATTCCCTAACCTTCGATCGATAAGTCTTCGGTTTCCAACCGAATTCTAGTCTATATATTTACGGTATTATTGCCTTGCAGCGTCATCTTGGGACGATGCTGTTTTCGCATAAAAACGTTTCGCGCTTTGCAAATTTTGTATTTAGGTTTTAAGCTATTATAAATGCGCATGAGGAAAATCTTCTTTTATATAAACTTGAACACCATGTTTCGACCTACTCATGACTGCCGCGCCGTCATAAGTTTGAGCTATCAATTTTGACTTCGCGTTGTAAGGCTGTAACACTTCTTTCAGTACAGCCGATATCCCGCAAGCCGTGCGATCAACGATTGGTACAAAGCTGTGAAATCTCTCGGTAGGTTTACCATCTTTCACAAACCGAAAAATCACAGCCAGTTGGGAAACGCACGTGATGTCAGTTGTCTCGTCAGACCTAATCGAAAGGAACTGGCAATTCTCAATTTCCAGAGTCAAATGTTGTAAATAAATTTTATACATTGAGTCGAGCAAATCATTTTGGATATCCTTAGATGTCTCTTTCGAAACAGTTGCGGCATCAAGATGATCTCTCAATACTGTATCTAGGGATGCGGTGTATTCCACCATATCCAAAAATACCCCTCTATTAGAAGAGCCAGCCCGTTCATCGTGCCCACGGAGGGACAGCTCGTGACAACCAATGAACTTCAAAACATCTATCAATCGACCGAGAACATGGCGGTTTTTCTCGACGTTTTGGTTGTGCCGACGAATAGAAACAGCGCGTCCTTCATCCAACTGTGCTGCAATATTAACATTCCCGAATGTTCGGTATTTTACTGCATTGTCCAGATGCTCCATAGAAGATTGATGATCCCTGGCACGCTCGGAAAGATGTTTACCAAATTTACACCAACGTGAGTCACGGGCGGTAGCAAAAAGTAGGCAATAAAAACAAAAAAGTGCATTTTTGTCCTCGCTGTAACACAACCATTCGTGTTTTTTATACCAAGTTTCTGCGCAGAATGTACGCCGACGCTTTCCTCCGTCATGGGATTGTTCCAGTGAACAATTTTTTGGTTGATAAGGCCCAAGACGTTGTACCTCTAATTTTTGTTCCAGCGGCAGCTGCGAAAACGGAGTGCGAAGTAGTGCATCAACCTTATTCATTATGAGGTCTAAGGCTAAGAAATGCGAAGCCGGAAAGAAGTGAGGAGCTCAAAAGGAATGTGGAAAAGCAAATGGACTAAAGGTCTCTAACTGATTCAAATTGCGAAACAAGCGACAAAAACGAAGGCGAGGAAACTATCAACTCTTCAAGCAACCAACGAACGAGAAGGAATGCGTGAATATGTCAAGACGTTGTTGTAAGAAACGTCGGCATTGTGTCGTCATAATTTCGGGGCTAGCCCCGATGATTTAGTAAAAGAAACAGAAAAAAAACGAGACAAACGCGGCGAGTGGAAGATAAAAGAGAGAATACGATATACAATGAGCAACTGGGGCAAAATCGGCGTCGCCCCGTCGACGTTCGGCGAAGGCTTTGCGAGCGAAAAATGAACCATGTCGGAAGAATATGGCTAGTGTAGACAGTCTGTGCAACCGATATTGAGGTATTTTTCGAATATTTTTTTATAATACCGAAAAAACAACCGGGGCATTGCCCCGGTTGGCCTTATTGACGCGCCGCCACTGGTGCAATGTAAGAAAGCAATATACACCATAAAAACAGAGCAGTTTTTGCGCCCCCTGCTATTGAAGAAAGTTGTGAAAATAAACATTAACTGATATATAGTTACTTCGCTTTGTTAAATAAATTTGCATCAGTTGATGATTTTACTTTGTCATCTGATTATTTATTCAAAACTTTTTAATTTGCGATATTTATTTTTTTACATATGAAAACTATGTGATATTTTTTTTAAGTATTTTTCCCAAAGCTACCTTTGCAAAAATGATTTTCTGAATACGTCACTTGCGAAAAAACTTTGCGCACCCCTATGCTGTTGCATAAAACGAATGAACGAAGTATGGCTATGCGCCTCTGGTGCCCTCGCCCGTTTTTGTTTGTTATCCTTGTGAACTGCATTTGAGCCGTCGTTCTCCACGCGTCAGTGAGCAAGTGAAATGTTAGCTATACCTCGACAAATACCGCCGTCGGCAACAAAGGCGTGGTGTGCTACGGATTTGTATATAGAATGTATTATCCCAAAGAAAAATAATATTCAATAGTGATTTCTAGAACATGAAGTTTTGCTATGCATAGGCGAATGTTATTTGGACGAGGTGATATTAGCTGAGTATACTCATTTCTGAAGTAGGAGCGATGTAGTTAGCGCGGCTACTATTAATAGATTGTAGCAGATGGCATTATGTGTTTTCCCAGTTGGCCTCTTTATGACGAGTACTATTCATTATTTCACTAGTTGTATTTTAATGCGCCAGTGAACGATTTTAGTCCCGTTAGTGCGGGCTTCGGTATATATGATTTAGGCGAAGGATAAGATCATATTCGTACAGGAAAATGGCAAAAGAAATCATCTTGGAAATATCATGGCTGAGACCATTGAAGTTGATCGGCCTTGCCAATCTGTTTTGTGCCTTAATTGCGTTCATTTTATCGATGGCATTGAAGGATTGGGTAACATCGGATGAAAAAAAGGTATGGAAATAATATTTATATTAAATCAAAATAAGGACCTACTAAGATATGAAAGTCAGCATTCTATAGCTAAAATCTTAGAATCCATTCTCCCCAGTGAAATCGAACTGGGACACCAAAATATTTCTCATCGTAAACTTTATAGTTACAGTAGAAAAGTGATCTAATCATCATATTGTATACTATAAATACATCACATTTCTCAACTGTACATAATACAGTAATATCGATGCCGCCCTGTTCATACGCGTAAACGACAGCTGTGGCTGCTGACGATTGAATGTTAGTGTAAGTGTGATATCATCAAAGAATTAGGAGAAACACTTGGTTTGTCATATTTGAACAATTCTCGACCTATTTGAGTAATTCTCAACTTGGGGTGAATTTAGGCCTTAGATAACCAAGGTAGTTATTTTTTGGATTTCGTATTGGTGCCAAGTACATCCTGGATGGGATTTACATATTCATCGCGAGGGAGCGCTGGTATTATATATCTTTTAGACAATTTAATAGTACATGAGGCACAAAAATGATATCAGGGTTCCATATTAAAAGGAGCCTAAAACCGTAGGGCATCATTATTGCCCTTTTCCGGAAAACAGTTTTCTCTATTATGGATGCTTTCTACTTCCTATAGATAGGCGTATTCCCAGTTAATTCTTTTGCCCCAATAGACGTCTTTGTTCGATATAAATTATTGAAAATCGCGTAACTCCCTCGTCTGTCGTCACACGAATAAACCAAAATTGAGCTATTAGTGCGTCCATGTCTGCGTAATGTTCGTCATTGTAATGGAGAGAATTTTGATTTTTTTTCAAAAGTGTGTGAAATGTGCGAAACGGTTAAAAGCCATTGCAAATATTCAATATCAGTTTCAGTATCGCAGAAATGTATTTTAGCCTACCTCTTATTGAAGTGACAGGGATTAAAAAATATCACTAATAATTGCCTGACGCGAGTAACCGTTATTATGCAACATGGTTTACAAATGTGTAATTCCAACCATTTTGAAACTTTCACACAGTACTCTATGTCCAATATTCAGTATCGTCATACATGACTACCACGCGAAAAGTTCGATTCGAGGTCGTCTTCAAAATCTGATAATTGGTTTGTAGCATCACTAAAATTTTATAAATTCATTGTGTCGTAGGATCTTCAGTTTCATATGGGATTATGGGAACAGTGTACTAAACTTCCACCTCCTCGTAAAAACATTGGGAATGATTATGATGACGATATTGACGCCACTACACCCGCCATTGACGATGAAGAATCAGATTGGAATTGCGAAGCATCTTCGAACAGAGGAAGTGAGTCTGGTTTATTAAACGAATTTGGAACTCAAATACTAAAACGAATGTATTTTAGAATGAACGAAATGAATAGGTTGTCAATAACTTCTATTTAATTAGTGCATTGTGCATGTTTTATGACATACTGAGCGACCCTTAATTAAATAAGAAGAAAAACTAAGCGAGTTACTGGATGCCACCTATTTAACAATGAACGAAACAGGTTTCAACCAATATTTCAGATAACAGGTGATTTACCATGTTTCTTTGAGATGGCTTCGGATTTTCCTAAAACTACAACCCATCTATTTTCAGCTTATGTGACTATTACACAAGCATTGATCGTTATCCCTTTCATTGCTGCGATCGTTTGTTTTGTCATCGGCATCGTCGCTTATTGCAAGAGAGAATGGAGATTTCTGTACAAAATTGCAGCCGTCATCTTAATTATTGCTGGTGAGTTATTTTGTTCTGTTTCTGTGTTTCCCAAAAAATAAATTCGTATTTTAAGATTGGAAATTATGACATACTATAGCGTTTAGTTCAATAATTTGTAATGGTAATCAAAGATGTATTTCATCCCATAAGAATCAATAAAAGCTCTTTAACACTGAGGGTACAAGGTTAAATTTGGCATTCATCCGGCAATCACACAATTGTCTTTCTTTTTTGTTGTTTTTCTCAGTGTAAAAATTGATAAACACCATGCCAACCAGCCTTTCAATATACATAGTAACACTGTAAGTCTAATGATAATTGTCTGGGAATTTATGGAGTAAACTCCTCAAACATCCACAATAAATGAGAATTTCTGAATGTGGACAAACGAAGAACATCCAAACGACATTATAATCTCTAATATCAAAATGTCATCAGTCAAGTTGCATTCTTTTCATTCTTCCAATTTTATTTCCAGCCATCGCCGTTTTGGTTGCTGTTATTCTCTTTCCGGCTATGTTTTTGGACGATCTTCCATTCTACGTGTTTTTCTGGTTTGGATGGGGTTACGGACTCGCATGGGCAGCATTTTGTTTCATGTTGACGGCGGCCATCTTGTTCTTAATTAGCCATGACAGGAAAGAGATCTACCGCACAGAAAAACGTGTCGTCGTCTAAATATTATAAATTGGATAATTTCTTAATTAACAGCAAAGTATTGTACGTGGGTGAAGCCTGGCCAAGCATAATCCACGTTCTGCTCGCTTTCTTACTTATATACACATGTATTTGTTTGCGAGTACGTAACTCTAGAATTTGGAATCTAACTAATTTTTCAAATTGATCGCTTTCAACGCCTTGATCATATGATAATATTTGTTAGTCAGCTACTTGTAATACTTTACTACTTCTCATTTTCTATTACTTCTACGTCAACTGTCATTTTTATTCATTGCTTTGAGTCATTAATATTCGTTTGAACCACCGAATATGTATTTGATAAAATGTTCTCATTGACTCGATGCCTCGGTTCTGATCAGGCGTAACTCGGGAATGTTAATCTTGAGTGTGGGTTCAAGTAAAATACGACTTGTGAGAAAGGAAGGTTTGTGATGATAAAAATCTGTTTCGTTTATGTATTTTCTTTTTAGTGGATTGAATAAAGTAAACGTTGGATAGGATTTGCTTGAAATAACGTGAACCAGTTTGTACATTTCTGAAAAATATAATAACCAATTTTAATTCAGAATTTATTATTTGAAAAAGTGCCATTTTTTATAATATTCATGTATATGTTCAAAAATATTTTCATCTCGTTTTTAATTTTAATAACGGTTACTGATAAAAGGTTTGTTATTGCTCTGTCGCTTACTTAACACGAAGAAAAACACAATACAGAATTAGAGTATAGTTCTATAAAACCATTACAATTGCTCATTTTTGTATTTGTCTTCGGTGTTACACTTGTTTATCATATGTTCGACATCATTTTTACGATATTTATTATTTCAATAAATTCTATTAGTTTTAAAAAACAAACAATAAATACTATACAGAATTTACTTGCTAATCTATCATTTATGTGCCATGCTGTAAATGCTCGGTATTGTTGCTTAAAATATAATTCACACAATTTGCCTTGAATAAATTTGCGCAGTGAAAATATTGCTGTAACTAGACAGGGGTTGAGATGGTTTGAACACAAAAGGTTAAAATCAACGTACGAAAATAGTCTTCTACATATCATTATAAAAGTAATCATTCATATAACATTGTAAAGGTTGACGCCATTAAAGTATGGATTAAAATATAGGATTTATTCTAAATCTGAGCACCAAAGGATATTTTCTTCTAATGCTACTAATACTGATATAGCACGGTTAAAAAGTAAGACGTTTTTATGTCGCTTAGATTGAATAACGGTAGTTCACAATTCTCAACAGATGCAATGCGATCGCAACTTATCGAGGTCGATTCAATTGTACAGACGAGGTATGGACGAGTAAACTTCGATTTTGTAGCAATTTGAACCTAAGATAAATTAAAGCGAACAAAATGGTAAAAGTTGTGGTGCTTTCAAAAATGGGTAGTCAAAACGTACTATCTCCACTGACTACAGTTGTTTTCATGATTATATCGACAGTCTGGGTGGTCTATTTAATACTGTCTATCTTTCCCAGTTTGAACTAAACACACAAATTTACTCAAATCTCAAACCAGAATTTGAATTCAAGATTGAATTGAAAAGGTCATGCATTTACCATATTAAATCTTGTGATCTTTAAAAATTGGAGCTATAAAGAAACACAATCCTGTTGGTTTGGAATTTGCAAATAAATAGTCTCGTTCGTCGTATTTGTATCGAGCTCCAACTCCAACGAGGTAGGAGTATTCTTTATATTCTAATTTTTAAAGCACAAGTGGGCGTGTCATGACCTCATCAAGTTTCTATATTTTTTGACAAATGTCTGCTGACGTTTTACAAAGACGTTTTACAAAGGGGTTGTAAAGGTGAAACACGAGCTAACAAAAAAATAATTAAGCATTATCATGCATTCAGAAAATAAGTAAACATCGCATCAATTTATACGAAACGAATAAGGAAAACAGGTACAGGTAACCAAATAGCCACCTTACACGTAGTAACAACCTACGAAGTGGAGGTGCAACTTATGACATTATCAATGTTGTAGAATATATAAAAGACATGAAACTGGTAATTATAAAAGCGTTCGAAATACTTACGTGATATATTGTCACGTTCCTTCTTTGACATATAAACTTCAACTTCTCTTATTATCTAACTATAACCTGTTGCGATATGACAGTGTTCGTTCCATGGACACACTGTCCTCTTGTAAAGATGCTTGTCTAGAGCAGGGATGGCGAACCACTGACCCGCGGGTCACAAAGTGATCCGCCATATATTTCAGTGATAAATATTAAAGATAAAACCAGCTTTAATTCAATCTAACGATACACAATATGCAGCTACTAACAACAATCGTTACAGCTGTTACATCGTTCAGAACGTTTATGACATTACAATACCAAGGACACGTTAATTTTCTTTCAACTTGTTTTGTAATAGTCCAGCGGATAAGTGGTAAAATCATGCACTTTTGGAAGCAAGCATGAAACTTGCCACACATGTACAGTAGCATCCCCTGATCAATTTTGGATATGGTGCCATCCGAGAAGATACCTCGTTGCCATGGAAACGAGGCATCATCCGTATTGCTATTTAAGTGAAATGAACATTACTCCATAAAAGGATATTTTCAAGACAAGTGAACTGATGTGTATATAAGAAGTGAAGAAAATGACCAGAAGTGCATTTTGACAATTTCCCTTGATAACAGAATACCTGGTTACCATGTAAACGATCGGTATCATTATCGACCAAACGCGATTGTTTGTCGCACAACCTGTATTTTCTGTTATTGTCATGAATCACAAATTAATTAAGCTACATTCACTTTCAAAATGTAATTCCGTTTGTGCTCAATCAACTGCCATCGCCAATGATATACTTTCAAACTCATAGCCACGTAAAGCTGGTGAAAATATAAAATATATATCTCGTAACTGACGGATCACTGTTATCTTGGAGCTACCATATCGTCCTCATATATTTTAATAAAAATAAATTCATTCTCTTAACTCTGGCATTAGTATCTCAGTCAGATAAAAACGGAAAACTTGCATTACATTTCAGCTCAAACTCGAATGGAATCGTTGATTATTCTAATCTATATCTAACGTCGCCTTATGTAACTGCTACAAAAAGAAAGAAATAGAAAAACGATTGAAATAATTATAATTTCCAAAAATATATTGCACAAAGACTCCCCAATAACTAGTGGAGACAATTTTACTATTTAGATATATACTCCAGCACTTTTGGATGCAAGCATGAAACTTGGCACATATGTACAGTAGCATCACCCGATCAATTTTGCAATGTCAGTCGTTATTTTTGCAATTCCCATCACGAAAACATAGTGGTGTACATGCTAAATCAGCACGGAAACATTTGCATCGAGCAGCACAACCTTTCTTGCAGCCATAATGAATCAGCTCTGTGCAAATTTTTGCTGCTTCGGGGATAGTCATCCATCTTGGTAAAAATTTGTCTCCTACTTTTTCCCATCCCCATCTCTGTGCATCAGGTAAATTTGTAAAACCTCTGTTGCTTTGCTTCAAATAAACACACCTTGGAAGATTGTCATGGCAATAAGAGGGCTTGGACAACGTGGGAAAATCTTCCAGACCTGACCAAGACGATGTTAAGCCTACTGAAGCTAGAGGGGACAAGCGAAGGGCCTGCACAATGCATTCGAATGATTGAAAGATTCATCGTTCTGCTCTACGATTGGACAAGTATGTTGTCAACGGTATGTACAATGTATGAGGACAAGCTAGAGGGGACAAGCGAAGTGTCTGCACAATGCATTCAAATGATTGAAAGATTCATCGTTCTGCTCTATGATCGGACAAGTATGTTGTCAAAAGTATGTACAGTTGAACTTACCAATTACCCAGATGTTGGATAGATGTTGAAATACGGTTGAATGCTAATTGATGTCTAGAATCGGCAACATTTCGGCGTCTATCTATCGACATGTGCCAGCTAGGTAAGCCAAAAAATAATTCAGACTCTTTGGATATTGAACAAACTTCAGAAGCAAAAGCTTTCCCCCCAAATATTTATTTTATTTCCCTTCAGGTTATTGAGCTACGACATCGTCTGTTTACAAAGAAAGGGAAAATGCCAGAGAACATCCCCCCTACATCAAATTCTCTGCTACAACACATACGTAGAGCAATCTTCCAAGGTGTGTTTATTTGGAGCAAAGCAACAGAGGTTTCACAAAATTTACCTGATGCACAGAGATGGGGATGGGAAAAAGTAGGAGACAAATTTTTACCAAGATGGATGACTATACCCGAAGCAGCAAAAATTTGCACAGAGCTGATTCATTGTGGCTGCAAGAGAGGTTGTGCTGCTCGATGCAAATGTTTCCGTGCTGATTTAGCATGTACACCATTATGTTTCTGTGATGGGGATTGCGGAAATAACGACTGACATTGCAAAATAATTGGGGGATGCTACTGTACATGTATGCCAAGTTTCATGCTTGCATCCAAAAGTGCAAGAGTATATATCTAAATAGTAAAATTGCCCCCACTAGTTATTGGGGAGTCTTTGTGGAATATATTTTTGAAAAACATAATTATTCCAATCGTTTTTTTATTCATTTCGTTTTGTAGCACTTACATAAGGCAAAGTTGGATATAGATTAGAATATTCAACGAGTCCAGCCGAGTTTGAGCTGAAATGTAATGCAAGTTTTCCGTTTTTATCTGACTGCGATACTAATGCCAGAGTTAAGAGAAAGAGAATGAATTTATCTTTATTAAAATATATGATGACGACATGATAGCTCCAAGATAACAATAATCCGTCAGCTATGAGATATATATTTTATATTTTCACCAGCTTTACGTGGCTATGAGTTTAAAAGTATACAATTGGCGATGTCAGTTGATTGAGCACAAAAGGAATTACATTTTGAAAGTGAATGTAGCTTAATTAATTTGGGATTCATGACAATAACAGAAAATACAGGTTGTGCGACAAATAATCGCGTTTGGTCGATAATGATACCTCGTTTACATGGTAACCAGGTATTCTGTTATCAAGGGAAATTGTCAAAGTGCACTTCTGATCATTTTCTTCACTTCTTATATACACATCAGTTCACTTGTCTTGCTTTATTTGTGATCCATGACAATAACAGAAAATACAGGTTGTGCGACTTATGATTGTGTTTGGTCGATAACGATACCTCGTTTCCATGGTAACAGATATTCTGTAATCAAGGGAAATTGTCAAAATGAACTTCTGATCATATTCTTCACTTCTTATATACACATCGGTTTACTTATCTTGAAAATATCCTTTCCTAAAGTAATGTTTATTTCCCTTTAATAGCAATACGGATGATACCTCGTTTCCATGTCATGTATTTTCATGGATGGCACCATACCCAAAATTAATCAGAATATGCTACTGTACATGTGTGCCAAATTTTCATGCTTGCTTCCAACAGTGCACAATTCCATCATTTTTGAGGTCTTATCCGCTGGACTAAACAGGTTTCCTTTTGCAAGTACATAAGCCTAGGAGGGCCGTATAATGTTTTGGATGTACACGAGAACTAGATTCTAATTTGCTGTTTATTTTTTACCGCATACATTGCTGATTGGGAAACAAAATTTTGTTGACCCAAATTAACGACCTTAGAAATCTGAAATAACAATGGCAGAGACTTTTATGTGTTTGAAAGACGATAAATTAATATGATTCTCTAAGATTGGGTTTCCCCCAAACTCGGAAAATATTTTCTAGCCTTATAAACGTTCTCAGTAGTTCGTATGCATGCAAATCCGTGTTTATTGGTCGAGTCGAGGACCAGAACTCGCCTCAATACAAGCGCTGTGTGCTTAACGATCAAAACTACATTATACCAACCAAGGATTATAGAACTTGAAAAAAATTGTAGCAAAAAGTTTTCATTGATGCAAACTAATGTTAAATATCTATGACCCACAGTCTTCTTTTTCACGGTAATAAAAATTTTGATCCATTTACTAGAAACAGTTCGTCATCCCTGGCCTAGAGAATATATTCAAACTTACCCACTGTATAGCTGAACTGGCACATTTAGGGATTGGGATTTGTAACGAATTTGATGAGGCATAAGCCGGCTCATTGTTTGGTGCCAATGCTACAATCCGACTGTGTGGTTGAAGCGAAGTTTTGCTGCAAGTTTAGTGATATCAAATAAAAACGTGAATTGCTTTCTAGCTACGATTACCCTTACAAATGCATATTATAAACTTTTTATTAGTGGCATGTGTAATAATTTATTAGCTTATCAGTTTTTAATATACAGTCCGAATCTGCGTCTTTCCGACCATGATATGTAATCGATGGATATTTGGTAATTACTGTCTCGTCGGCGCCATGGCCTTGTCAGTGTGACCTTTCCATATATGTCACGATATATTTCGTCATTTTTGCCCCGCAGAGATGATTAGTCGTTATTCCAACCGATGTGACCTCAAATTGCTTTGCGGGTGTGTTGTTTATTTATATCCCTTCGTTGTTCAGAAGCTATTCAACTTTGTTTGAAACATAAAGATAATGAGAATTATTTAATTACCCATTGTTTTGGCATATTACCCGCAAGCGAGTTACCATCACGCTGTGCCTTTGTTATGGAAGGTTAATTTGACCAAAAAGTCGTCTCTATGGCTACGAGCTTGCCTTGATATGAGCACTTGCATTTTTGCGAGTGTGCAACAAATCGTAGTATTCATTTACGACATGTGTTATCTAATGTTAGGTTTGTTCGAAATGCACTAACTGTAGAATATTTTACTATGCATTAGCAGCTTTGCTTAGAGTACATTACAAATTGCCGTTCATAGGGATTTTCAGTAGCGGATCTTATGAGTGCATTCCTTGGATTCTTGTACCGGCAAACTGTCTCGACGATAGATTTGTAGTGCGGTCGTTAACTAGTGGTTGAGAAGCGAAGCAATAATAATAACGAGTAAAATCGAGTATTCAATATAAGCAAACGTTACTTATTCGAGGATATCAAGGAGATGCTCTCCCGATCGCAATCTTGTTTAAACAAGATGTCTGAAGTAAACATTTTACACGCGTATTCCCACAATCAAATAGTACTATGTGTTAGTTGATCGCCAAGATTTGAGAGTCGAGATGTTTTTATCATGGTAACATGTTCGGCCAAGCTTATAAAAGGACCTGTACGATTATGTTCAATGATAAATGATTACAGGCAGATAATAGACTGAGTTCTCTCACGGAGGGAACGCGCCAAAACTCGAGAGCTTTCATTCATTCAACTTCTATGCTCACGGGAGCGTAAAGCGTTGGTGAATGAATGCGGCGTTTTGCTCAATGGCGTTTCATATTGGGTTGTCAGGGACGTAGCGTCGGGTTCTTGGTGACTCCAATGCCTCGCAAGGATAATATCAGGGGTAGAGATTTATTACCTATCCGAGGCGTATTATGATATCGAGCATTGTGGTTAGTATAGTATATTTCATGCGCGGTATAGTAATATGAATATTTGCTCTAGCTGTATAGTATACCGGTTTGCGCCTTGTCTTGTATTGCAGAACCAGAAAGACGTATGCTCGATTAGGATGGTATACAAATTTGGCAGGGTGAGGGATTATAATACACATAAAAATAAATTCATTACTTTCTTTCAAGAGGTCCCACGGCAGGTTAGGTTGACTTGGGTTGCATGACATACAAAACAATTTTTTTCGTTAAATTCTCTGTTTGAATATTCAATTTTACACATTCCAGTTTGAATTGATTTGGCCGTTGGTGTTTTGAGAAGTTTTACAGAGGAAAAGTTAGTAACTGCTATAGTTAAAGGTAAATAAATAGTTGGCATATTAAAACCATATCTTTATTCAATACCTCAAACCATTTGTCGTTTTCAGGTTTAGATTTTGTAAGATATATTTTCATGTTAATTTGAATGCACCAGTTGCCTGTTGGCTCACGTGATCGCATTGAGTGCAATAATATTGTGGAAATTTTCATGAGGAATTGTTACTTATGAGCAAGGAAGGAAGGGATAAGAAAGGTTTGAAAGAAAAAGATATACCGCTGGAACAAGTCATACAGGTAACTAACGGTTGGATCGGAAAACTGGATGTTGAAGTTCAAATAAGAGATACTGCGCTGTCACAGTTTAAGTTCTGCTACGATAAAACTGTAGATTTTGATGTTTTGTATTGTTGGTTGTCAATTTCGTCGTACCTATTTATAATTGTTTTAATATGTTAGTCGGTATGTATATTATTAGAATCATCAATATTCACCTTGTTAAATCACTCGTAACTCCGCCTTTTCAATAGGAACAATAAACCCCAAACATAAATTACAATGCTTCAAATTTGAAACAATTACTTGCAAAGTATTAGGTTACTGTCAAGGGTTGTGATGCCTTCCTTGAGTTGGGAGGGATTATCTGCAAGTAAGTAAAAAAGGAAACCAAAATGTCTTCACCATCCAAAATGTTGAAATATATTTCGTATAACCTTGGGACCCGGTTTCTGCTTATTATGGGTATTTTTTACAACTGTTCGACAAAGACGAATTTTAATTGGCATCGTTTTGCCGCTGTTGCCGGCAACGCGTCTCTTTTGTCTTTTGTTTCCTTTCATTGTTAGTCGCTTCTCCCACTCTGGAATCGTTTGACTAATCGTACCGGTTGTTTCTCTGCTTTTTAAAAAATTCAAATCTCAACAGTCGGTGCCCAAGTCAACATCGCCGTTACTCTAAGTCAACATACGAGCAAGTAATTTCTTGCCCGGAATTTGCCAATTTCCAATCCGCCATGTTCTTACTGTCGGTCTCGTGTTTGTTTTTCTATCAAACGGCAGCGCGTTGGTGGCATTTTGTGTCCGATTTGCGCTTGGTGAATACTCGATAAATATATATTTGGAATATAGAAATGCTTCCCCGTTGCCAAGCCCGATTTCTTCGGTACTGGGTATTTTCATTTTACTACCAAAATATTGGTCATGTTTATTCAGCGGCATTATTCGAAAATATAGATACTTTGGCAACAAACACGTCCCATAAGATTTGTTTATCTTATGTTGTGTCCTTAGTTTTGGTGCCTAGCTAAGCAAACAAACTTGAAGTACAATGAGGAAATATCGCAATTTAAATCATAACAAATGTCAAAGTATAATAAATAGGAATGCCAAGGACTTTTAAAGCTCAGACATAACCTTGCTTACGTTACAATATGTTGCAATGGCAATTTCCGACTATCTGTGCCAAGCATAATATTCATAATATATTTATTCATGTATATTTATTACATTCGATTACCACTTTAGACACTTATCATCATCGTCAAAATCGTCGTAATAACACTTGACTTGACGCGTTATCAGTTTATCACATTACCAAATATATAAGAAAATTATTCTGATTCCGAGCCGTAATTATAATTACACAGTTAACGTCCGCTTCCAATGTGGATCATCATTGCATTGTTATCATTGATCAAATACAGTTTATTAGTAAATTAGGTTTTAGACATTAAAATAATCGGCGAACATAAGTTGGGTATATCATGTCATAAATCTATCGGCGTACATACGCTATTGTGTTTGTTTTCAAACAATAAATTTCAATGACCATTTAACTTATTTTTTATGACTAATGAATAATAGATGGGCGTCACTTTTAAACATAAAAAATGTATTTACACGAGCAACGGCCTGCTTTTCACTGTTTCAAATTGACGTGTCACAACTGGACGATGCTTTATTGACTTTATTTTTCATTGCATCGAGTATTTTTTTAAAGTCAACTGACTTTTGGAGCAGTGGGGTGCAACAGTGTACTTCATTGTGCTCTTATATTCGGCCATGGGCATGATGTAACTTGATATTTGAGGCCATGTGCAAGCTTGCTGAATCCTAATAAAAAGCTTACCAATATAGTGATATTTGAATTTGGAAATGACTTTTTGTAATCCCGAAGCCAATTTTTTTTTACCAATATGAAAAACCCAATTTAAACGACTTTGATGCATTTCAATGGTCTTCATCTTACTTACTCCTAATGAGATATTCCAATTGTTTTTTAACGATCCAGTTGAAAACTCCATACAGTTTGTGAGAGAATCATTCTCTTTTTGCGTTATCATTTTCGTACTTGTATTTCTTGCATATGTAGGAAAATTTGTGACATAATTCATAGGCATAAACGGTTCCCCAAAATCATATCCCACTCCTATATTTTTGTTGACAAAGCAAAAACTTGACCTGTTGTCACTATAAACACAACTGCTTACGACTTGCAGTTTGAATCTGTGCATACTTGACTTACAAGGCTGCCTAAATGTTCTGATCGTTCAATTCTATTTTTAAAATTAAATACTTTCATGTGCTTCATAGACGCTTGAAGAAAAAGTACTCACTGGTGATCGAGAGGGAGGACTACCATCTGTGGGGGCGCGAGTGCGCGAGATTATAACTGAAAATTTACAAGAACCAGATCGAAGTGATCGACAACGATCAGAAGAAGACGCCATGGCAAAATCTTTACAGGTAAACGTAACAAATAAGTAATTCATCTTAGTTGTGCCATCGCCGATATATTCATGGATTCGGAAAATGATCTTATGTTGTGTCATTTAACACAGTTATTTTGTCGGTATTGTGAACACGTTAATACTTATTATATCGAAATATGCTAGGTTAGGTCAAATAAGGAACGTTTACTGGAACTATACACATATTTACACTTCATACGTTTTGGTCGCTGTTCAGTCGGAAACCAATAATTGAATTTCCCGCTCCAGCTTGGCTTCTCGCTAGGCGGTGCTAGAAGTACATTTCAGAGTTCGTCGTCGAAAACCACGTAGAGCCTTTGAATGACAAACTGATGTCACGGCACCAAGTTTATTCATAATTGTTTGCTTTTCCCCAAATAAGTTGAACCACGTAGGGATATGGAGTGTCTTGATTATTGTAAATATATCAATCTGATTCAACTATATAAACTCGTGTATTTGATTAATCATAATGAAAAGACGTGCGTTATGCGTTATGAGGTATTCATTCTAATAAATATTATTTTGATTACTTTTACATTGCTGGCTGTTGTTAAATATACTTAATAGTCTCATCAAATAATTAGACATCTGTAAATATTCCCAATCGAATGATATTTCGCTGAATATTAGGAAGTATTACAAATTAGGTATAAGAAATAGTAGCTCGCAAACACTTCATCGCATGTGACACGCGACAATACTTTTATGATAATTTTATATGGCTGGAGTATATTTTGCTACTATTTTGGATCAAGAATAAATCACAGACCATATGTAAGCCAGGGAATGATAAAAAGGTTACCAAGGCTATATCATTTATGGATACCCCAGCCCCAACAGCGCACCATACTTACACATACGGCTTAAAACCAATGAAAAATGATTTACAGCTTGTGCTATATGGATATTCAGATATACAATATTTAACATTTTAGGAGGAGAATCGGATGTTGCAATCTGAATTAAACAGAGTAGAAGATTCATTGTCTCAAGCAAGAGCAGAAAGAGATGAAATTGCTATAAAATACAATGCAGTCAGTGAACGTGTAAGTTCTTTTTGGCCATTTTGGCGTCAAATTGCCAAGATATTTCGGCGCTCCAAAAGTATGTGTACCAATATGGAGGTAACTAATTTTGTTCGCCTACTTTACATCAAGTTGTGTAAAGGGACGGAAGCCTATGGGCAAGGGGTGTATATTCACTTGGATAATACAAACAGTTCCCGAACTCGTAATGGAAATATTATGGCCTAAGAATTATTATAAAGAATTATGGCCCAACCCTAACCTGGTAGACATACTACAGAGTACCGATATTTCTTTATTTCCTATAAAGGTGATGGTGCTTAATGAAACTTCAAACTGAAATTTTCTGTGAAATTGTCTACTTCTACACAGAAAAATACCTATATTTAATTTGGTCACTAAGATTTTAATCCAAGGAGACATGCATAACATGATTGGATAATTCCGAATAGAACACCACCTATTTATCATAAGGTTCTGAAGCTACTTATATTATCTGTTTATGAATTTGATTTAGAATCACGGTTTTGTTAGCTTATTTTAAAATGAAATCCAATCCGAGTTCGACCTAAAATATTCTGTTCAACTTACGCATGTGCCCTATATTATTAAACTCTTTTAAGTATGGATATCTCTGTTTGATGTTCAAAAGTAACTTAGTACTTGATTCATCTAATTGACTGGTTACATTATCTTGTATAGGTGTCGCTATATTGCTAAACCTATAATATTCGGACTTGATTAAAGCGACAATCAGAGTTACCGGCATATTGCACGTTTGAAGGTCTTAATAATATACCTTATAATAGGTTTCTATAAAGACGAGCGAAACCGCAAATTTACTCAGAAAATATTATCGGGATATTCGTGCTATAGAACAATATTGAATACATTGTATTATTGTTGCTAGAATATCATAAGGAATTGTCTCCACTGTAAACGCTTCAGCGATTATTGTAGTTGAGATATAGGTAGGTGAACAGTGTTTACAGTAGCTCGTTAAAGGTGATTTCTACCAACGGCAAAGTCAAATAAATATGTTGAGCTTGCCAGAACGCCATCTGTTATCTAAAAGGATATGTCTGTTGTCTTATTAGTTAGCTATGGTAAATTCCGGTTTCGACCAGTCTCTATGACCCTATGATGTATGGAGTGATAAATTTGCTTCAGACGTTATGAAAACTAAAAGTATTCGACTCCATATAGCGCTTTACGAATATTTGAGAATAAGGTATTGAAAATCCAAGGAGTCATCTTTGGAACCTATGATTGACCTCTAAATTTATTTTCCCAAATTTCTAGGCATCTTTGCGACTGACATGTCACGACATGAGTATGCAAAAATCATCGCCTTGACTCGTTTGTGTGGCATCTACTAAAAACATGACTCTGCCGAGATAACCGCACGATATAATAAACCACAGGGATTGTAATGAATGTGCGTTATCCTTGTCAAATTTATTGCTTAACATGTGGAAATAATTCCCGCAATTGATCTGATATGATCATAATATATATATATATCGTATATATATGATCGTAATATATATCATTTGGCAACTATCTCTCCAACTAAAGATGCTATAACATAGCCAGGCCACGGCGAGTACATTCTTAAATTGCAAGCACTCAGGAATGATATAGTTTTAAAATCATTATTTCGAAAATGGCTGTGAAGTTTTTCCTCTAGATTTTAGGCCAAATTTCAGTTTTATTCTTATCATGATTTCCATTGTTAGACCTTCCTTTGTGTATTGTGAAAACATCTATTGAGGCAGGAAAATCCATATCTTAGCACAATGCGAGTAACGGACGTTGCCGCAAATATTGACACTAGATAACATACGTCGTCGCCTTGTTTCGTGTGATTTATACCTTTAAACCATTAGTAGAATCACAGTGAAGGTTCTTTTGAAACATTCATTATGACACGTATTCTGCGTTTTTTCCTGAATCTGCAGGGTTGACTTCCTAATTTGAAAAAAAAAATGAATACTTGTAATTCAATCGACAAGGCAACAACAAATACTACATAAATTAATAATAAATTAAGTAATAAACTTAACGATTGCTAAATATTTGAACAAATAAATTAGGCCTGTGAAATCGATATTGTCGATATCAAGTTTGAATTTAGCATCTTCGGTTAGTTTTAGGTCAAAATACCGAAATCATAGCGCATGGGCCATACCGTTTCAATAATAAAGTATATTTGCCTCTTCGAATGGTCAATAAATCTTTGACTGAAACCAAGTAGAAAACTATTCTATTTGAGTAGTTATCGTTTAGGCTTCATGTGTTAATTTGATCCTTAGTGCAATAAAAAAATTGTAGAATAGGTATGAGAACTGCATAGGTGGTAGGGCTACCTTTGCCGATGATTTGGTTGTGGCTTGTGGCAGTATAAAACGGAAAAAGTAAAATTGGAACTTATATTTCGAATCTTTGCAAAATTTAACAGAGAAAAGGTTTTTCAAGTTTACCAAATGTTAATATTGCCTGAGAGTTGGCTTCAAACCCGTTCGTATTTAACAAAAACAACAACATATAAATCGTCTATTAAATATTTTTATAGGATAATCCGCAAAAGATGTTGTACCCAGACATACAACTTGTCTTACACCACGTGCTGCCATAATGTTGCCAATGTTTGGGGCGTATCTAATGCACTCACAGTGATTAGATAATGACATTGACATATCTATTTAACTCATTTCGTGCTATTCAACAGTATTCTTCACGTTTACTATAGAGTAGGTGAGATTATTTTATTTTTTAATTAAAAAAGAATGTGAAGTTTTTGGATATGTTCGTGGTCGGCTTACTTCTCATTTCAAAAATTATGACAAAGACACCTGTGTGGAAAGAGGTTAGAATATTAAATATGATATTAATATGCCAAAAACGTAAAAAAAATCATATGAAACGACATTGCCGTACACCAAATGATATGAAAGCGTTCCAGCATTACACATGTCAAATGTGTGGAAAGTTTCCATGTGATATGTGATATTTTCAATTTCACTATGATATCATTTTAAACCTATTATTTTGCACATACTTGCTACTTTGATACAATTGCTTTATAAAATTCTCGTGATAAATTTTTAAAACGTTATAGTACAAGATGTCTGATTCTGTAATAATTAATTATGTGAATTAATGCCGTCATCATTAAAGTCATAATTACTGACCATTTTCAAAAGTGTGCGGTAGTAGCTAATATCATAGAATGTGAAGTAGTGACGCGCAAACAGCCACTTGACCACCGACCCGGACCAAATCAGCTGGATGTCACCGCGTCAGTGCCGACGTTACTTCTCGATATTTTTGTTAGAGTAGTTTAATTCAGGACTTGGTGGTGACAAGAGCTGTGTAATAGTGTAGTGATTGAAATTTTATCGGGTTCTATGGTTGCCAATATCGCATTTGAGGAATCGCTAAAATAGCGCAATCGCTAAATTTGAGTGTTCACACAAATTGAATAGTTGGGTTCTATGCTGTGTTTTTTTACAAATATTGAATTTAGGGATCGGAGTTTTTTCGGCCCTCCAGAAGTGTGTGTACCAATATGGAGATAGGTAATTTTGTTCGCCTACTTTACATCAAGTTGTTTGTAGGGACTGAAACCCACGGGCGGCGGGTATTTTCACTTGGCTTACACAAAAAGTCCTGGAACTAATAGAACTAAAATGACAAAAATCGGCATAAAATTATAGCCTCATCCTAAACCTGGTACACACATTACGGGAGCACCGTTGTTTCAACCTCTTTTTATTACCTGGTGCTATCGATTGGGTTTCTGTGGGACTAATTATTTTTTCTTCTTCTATGCTTCATGTATGTATTAGAAAATCAGACGAAGCGTTACAGAAATATATCTGTGCTATGCTAGTGTGCAACGAGACTCTCGCCAAATTTGACCATCAGAATCTATCGTATACTGTAAAGTTTTAGACAAAAATTCCAACTTGGAAAAATTATGAGAAATATGTAAAAACTTTTTTGTAATTCTTATGCTAATAGCTCGTCGGCGCCACTGATGTCAATTATATTAAAGAATACGATCAAAGGTTTTCCTTTCCTTTAACTTAAATGTAACAAAAACATACTCACGCGTACGTGTGGCATTGTTAAGCCCACATAATTCATTTTATATTAATTATTTCTTCTTAATTTCAAAGAAGCGAGCGTGGTCGAGTTTTGATACCTTACTTGGCATAAGTATTTTGTTAAGGTGCGTATTACTAACTCAAGCCTTAAGTTGGTATTTTTCCAAATTCAATTGAAAACTCAACAATAATAGTTAAGGAGTGAGGTACCGTGAATAAATATCAGTTAGCACTTTTAAAAAATAAGAAAACGTCTCTTTGAATTGAATGTAATTACTAGATTCTTTGTTGGGCTCTAATGTATTATAGGCGTTAAATTACTTACTTCATACTGTCTTTTATGTTGTTGCTTTCTAACAGCATTTTAAGATGTAGTTTTCTTTTTCGCATATCCATTGTGTAAAATTGTTTGGTATGAATTCGTCGACAATACATTCCGACGGACGCAGTTTAGTTATCGTCTTTTGTTAAAAAGCCTTTGTGTTATATCTTGCTGAAGTTAATTTGTGTTTTGCTTTTTGTGTTTTTTTTCGTCGGTGGTTAGTTCAATAGGCATCCAGGTAGGATCGTAGCTTTCAAAATAAGCATCGGTCTCTCGTCGTCAAATATCTGTCGACAAATCTTGTGTAGGTGCCATGGTGTGGAATGATACAAAGATAGCATAGAAGAAGTCGGTTAGTGGGACCGTTTGTAGCTTTATTATCCACTTCGAACTAGGCTGGTCTTAAGGTTTGGCAAGGTCAAGACGCACTGCTATAATAATTCGTTTATGGAATTTTTAGCCTGATGCAATCATAAATGAAATGACTGTATTATTAGTACATTCTGGAAACGGAACATTCATATGACGGTCATAAATGTGGAAGGTACAGTTGAGGGCTAGTTAGGTTGTACGTATGCGAGTTTTGTCTATTTAAGAAAGATATTTGTTGGTTATGCTAATAAAGTATAAACGAGCGTAGGCATAGCCTGTTTGGTGGTGATTTGCTCCATACAAATATTGATTGATTTGGAAGTCATTGGAAGCCCTAGTAACGCCTTACCACGAAATTTTGGAGTCCTGTGATGCCTGGGTCTAAATTACCTCCTATAAATCCATCATTGGAGCAAATCCACGCTCATTATATTAGTTCTCAGGCGACTAATTACTCAGTTTATTGCTCAGCAACTGAAACAACACATTATAATTCATTGAAACTAGGAATACTTTGTACAGAAAATTCACATTAAAGTTAGAACCAATGAATGAAAAATACTTTTTAAAGTACGGTTTTTTTATTTAATATTAACACATACTATTCTCCTAATTCACCGTGTTAAATTGTTTTGGTATAAAAATTGTTTGGAATAAGTCTGGCAATATAGAACGTAGTTTGGATAGGAATATACTGGCAAGTGATGGATTCGGATGACGAAACGCCTCAGAGGGAGCCGGTACGAGTTAGGGTGGAAAAAGTGAGTAACAGACTAAACAGAAAACTATCGAATTTCTGAGTTTTTCCAGGTTACAATTATAGCTCACTATAGTGAGTATTTTACTACAAAATGCCAGAGCATAGCATTCAGGTCATTTGAAAACGCGTATTACCATAGTGGAAGATTAAATAACAACCAAACATATTACACAAATATTTACTTAAAAGTATTCCTCGTTAGTTACTAGTTGTTTCGTGTAATATTCAGTACCGGTAAAATGTTTATTGCTTGTTTTACAGCACGCATCTTGGTGACCTGTTAATTCGTTTTTTTCTGCCCTGTAAAAACTAATGAGGCTAAAATTTTGCGAAATATCTTTTGTTTTTTGTACTTAATATACGTATTTGTAAACTTACAACTGTCATAAATGAAGCAATCATTTAAAGACTATAAATGTAACATTTACTATTTCAATTTACGTACTAACAAAGTTGGAATTTCTGATTTTTGCCAATAAATATCAACATGTCTTTGTTTGCGTATAACGCTTGCAAACAAACTTTATTTGTTGATATGATGTGTTCTCTTCTGTGATGAAATTGTTTCCGTCAACTAGAAATACGTTGAGGGATCGCAACAGCTCTATACTTCCATGGCCACTCCAAGATCCACGCAGTACAACTCTTTACTTTTAATTATTACGTCTATCGGTTTTTAGATGATGATGGTCCACAAAAATTCAACAATCAATTCTGATGTCCAGAGTTGTATCATACTACAGTCCAATTTGATTCGATCGTAATTAATGATATCAGAACCCGAAACATTATTTCATTGAATTATTCAAACACGAATCAATATATAAAATCGTCATAGTTCCTGACTATATAAAAGTTTACGGGTGGGCCATTCAAATGGCGAATATATCCATCCCTATTCCTAACTATTAGTTATGTTTTCTATTGTGAGTGAATGATGTAAAATTGTAATACATTTTATTTACAGTTGGAGCAAGCTCTGAAATTAGAAAGTGGGGAGAGAGAAAGAGAAGCGGTGGAAAACAAATCTCTGGCACTTCAGGTACTTTATAAATCTAAATTTATTTCGCTATTTTTTAAAGTTCAGTATCAAATATTGAATCTCAATTAGTATGAACTACATAGAGCAACGCAAGATTGTTTTTCAATATGTGAACAAATACGTGCTAGGAAAATATCGTTAGTGAGAAATGAAATGTTACGCATATCAAATATATATTAGTAAATTACATCCTAAACCTCATTAGCTCAATTTCTATGAGTTAAAGTTAATTTATTGTTTGAATCCAAAAATTCACTACAAGTTTTGGTTGAAATTATCGCTCATGAGATAAAAGCAACCTAATAAATACGTATTAGACATCTAACCTGATTCGCAATCGCAATTAATCTCTCTTCATTTATGTAGAATGCTGAACTCCGTCGCAAGTTGGATGAAGAGCAAGCCTCCTATAAAAGGAAACTGCAAGCTTATCAGGAAGGACAGCAACGGCAAGCTCAGCTCGTACAGAAACTACAGAGCAAGGTAACCTTTCAATACACATTTATCTTATTCTTCTCCATTCTAAATCTGGAATTGAATAAATCGGCCATCTGCAGTCATAGAGACTACATTTACAATGGATAAAATGTGGCAAAATTATTTCGAAACATACATGTGTAAGAGGATTATGAAAATGAAATGGAAATTTCAAAACGAAAAGTGATCAAGTATGAGTGTATGAATCCATACGTCGTAACTAATTTATTGGATAATTCTTCAGATTGAAGGCTACAGTTTAAACGTAGAATATTTTTCTATTTCTTTTCATTCGAATAGTCTAATATTGGCATTTTCTGCATTAAATACGTAAGTCATTTGCAATGTGCAAAAAAAATTCACTCTTAGTCGTCGGAAATGGTTTTTCTTTCAAATCTATTCATATAGGTATGACAATAGATGGTCAGATATAGCAAAAACTTGTTATTATTTTCTTTGAAATATATTATTTTGTATACACTTTTATGGCATTTAAACCTCCACAAGTTGAATGCACTCTGTACAAGGTAACCGTGATAAACATATAGTATATCGACCCTCCTCAACTGGAATCTTGCATGACCCAATCATGGCCAATTATCACAAATCTAACACCAAACTATTTCTTCATCATTATCTGATCCGTGACGCAATCGAAGATTAACTAGTAACCCATAGCAACCACAAGACACTTTGTTTTTCTCTATAGCGATACATTTCTCGCTATTGTTTACTGCCACCGAGTTAGCGTCTGTTCAACAATAGAAGTTTTTGTATTATGTGTAAATCAATTTTGTTCGAAGTTTTGTTTGAATGACCTTCCTAGCTTATAGTATCTGACTGATATGGTAGCTTGTAATAGCATAACTAGAGTAGACAACGACGCGATAAAATTAAAAAAGTAATATTAATATTGGATACAACATTTCATAATTCATTATTATTGATGACATTATGTTAATTTAATATAGATCATTTTATTGTGATAGGCACGTCTACGTGTTCCGAAAATTGATTATAGAAACGAATTCGTTATCGTTATTGGATTATATTGAATGACAAGAAACTTGCAAATAATTTTGAAGCTTTCAACAAATCAAATTTTTTCCCTCCTTAAAGACAAATAGATGGTTACGCAAAGCCATGGTTAAAGCTAAAGTGTAACTCACACAAAATACAATTAAGTTAATTAAAATGCGTTACGAAAGCAATATGTTACGTTAAAATTCATGATACGCTGGTACTACTCAGTTATTCTAATTCAATGCGCACCGAATGAATCATAACTTTTGCAAACAAGTAAACTGGCTGTGGCTGGTGTACTATACATTCCGCTAATTGTATTAAAGCAACTCGAGTGAAAATGGACTATAAAGAAATAAGTACCAAGTAATGCCGAGATCATGAAATTTTGCTATCGTACAGCTTTCACCTTCCATACAATTTTCAAAATAAATATCGAAGATTTCTTTTTTCCTGATCACCCGAGCGGTATTTTCGAATCGGAATAAAATTTGCGAATTGGGGCGATTAGTTGTCCCGCAATTGCTTTATTAAATAAAAGAGTGTTCTGACACTTTTTCATTTTGTTAGAATTGAACTTTTTGAAAAACTATGAACATTGATTTTATTTAACATTTAAGAATCAGTACATTGAAGTATGTTCATTAAAAGTTTGACTTGAGATTAAAAAATGTTAGAACGATATAAAATATCAAAAACGATTAGAGATTCGTGCTAAACTATCATCCTACTGATATTTAATTGTTCCGATATTTATTTAGGATTTTCAAGAATTTCATTTCGAAAGTAAAAATGTACATTATATTAACGGGGTTTAACGGGGGCTTAAATCAACGTGAAATACGTGACACCGGCATGTTTACTTACTCTAGTCTTGCTCACAATACACAACATTTACAATGAATAGGCTACCACTTGATTCGCTAAATAATTATGCGGTTATCTTCGGCCATTCAAGAATCTTTAGTAACCGAGATCAAATAGTAACAATATAAAGAGCAAGGACGCGCAAAGGCAAAATTTGTTCGAGCGGGGTCGTCGCAATTCAATGGCAATACGAAGAACAATAGCGCGGCGTTATTCCAAAGATTTCGATAGAGGGATATAAATAATAAGCCGATTGCTCGACAATGAGTTTTCAATACTCTTTGGTAAGGAATACGATACGACAAATTGATTTGTTCTTTTTAGAGAGGCATTTATTATAGTATCAGACAAGCGTAGGGTGCGCTTCGATGCGGTTTAGTATATACCAAAAGAGTCTTCTGCACCGGTACAGGTGTCGGCGCTATGCTTTTCATAGGATGTGTATTTATGGGCAAAATAAATTAACTCAAATCTGGTATTCAATACGCGTTATTTAAAATCGTGACGCCAATTTGAATTTTTTCGTTTAATAATGGTGAAGGATACAGAGAATTGAATTGAGCAAACATTTAGAAAGTAGTCTATTGGGTTACCCATTTAGATTCATGACTCATTGTAATGTGAGATGTAGCGAAACAATAGGTGAAAAAGTGTGCAGTCTCGAAGGTGAATTTAGCACTTGGTATGACCTTGCTATCAAGGATAGTTTCCAAATAGAGGTTTTTTGAAAATGAATATATAAATTTGTATATATAAATAAAATAAATATATGAATAAAAATAAAACTAACATAACATGAATTTTGAGTAATAATCTAACATTTTATAGTGTTAATTTCGATATTCCTTGAAAGTTCGTTTTCTAAATGGAATTTTACTGGTTATGAAAAACAATAAGTGGTCGGATTGTCTCGTCATAGCAAACTTTATAATAGGGGATTCGAAGTTAGTGTTCATAGCGATCTCGTCAATAGATTTTTATCATGAAGAATGTGCTCAAATGTGATTTTTGAAGTTGAAGCAAGTCCTTGAATTTCAGTCTTAGCTTGTGATATTACTTTCAAATGCCTTTGACCTGATTTGAAAAATGGCTATCATTATTAGATAATGTTCAATAAAAGTAGTTATGCTGTAATGATCAACAAAAAAGACGAAAAACTGAATACAACTTTGTTTTATAAATTGTGGCAGCGTTTGTTTTAGATCTAAATGTAGGTATACAAATTTGTTTTCTGGGGCTGTGGCTGTTAATTTATTCAAAATGGATCTACAGGACGAAGTATTGTATCTACAAGAGCAGGTAACCAAGTTGTAAAGACATTAATAACGCTCGTGGTAAACAGGTCAGGGTTTTCATTGAAATCTTGAACAAATCATTGAAATTTTCTCTTAGGTCAGAATAAAAGATGGGAGAATTATTATTACTAGTAGTTTAGAAATCAATGTAATAATATTACGTTTCATCAGCTACAAATAGATATGTTACGGTAAAAATAGCTTTCATAAAGCATGTTAAGAATTGCACGTGGGCAATCAAGTCTAGAGTATTTATATATATTGATTTCAATACACTAATAAAACGATGCAATAGTGAAACGGCGGGTGGGATCGGTACTTGAAAACAATTATATCAGTAGCAATTGATATATAAAAATTTTTGCTGGATACCTATGTATCATGTGTTATTGATTGTGTCGATAAATAAGAGATTGCGAACAATGATCGTTTGGGATTACCTACTTTTGGGGATTTCTGTGCTGATAGTTATTAATTTGTGACGATAAGACAATTAAAAAAATCGATATTAATAAACGTTGCATTGGTTGAATTTCGGCTACAAATTAGCGATACCTTGTCATTAACCTAATATATCATGACCGTGGAAAAATTTAAGGGTTAAGCCAAGGATGCTGATTTAGTGCCTTACTGTTCACATTTTTTGTCATCATAATACAAACAATGGAAATAGTCTAATTCAACATTTTTTAGTCTTTTTCTTTTTTTTGACCTTGACCAAATCTTTCAGTAAGTTCGACATCAAATCACATTTTATATATTTTGAAACATATTTGTGCATATTTGTCATGTAAAACTGTGCCATTGCAAAAATCATTTTCACGTTTAAAACCACGACATGAAACAACGGCACCAAGTAAAGTATTTATTAAGTTTCGTGTGAAAAGATATATAAAGAGAACAAAGCCTATATGATGATAATTTCGATTAAATTTCAGATATACTTTTTCATATTCTCCATATGTAGTCTCATTGCATCTCTCACTTTTGCTTGGAATTATAAATCAACTCTGACTAAAGCGTATTGAATTGATTATTTGAATTTGATCGCAAAGTCTTATAAAAATGCAACTCATTTTCTTATTATTCGCTTACAGGTGTTGCAATACAAAAAGAAATGTGGAGAATTGGAAACCGAACTTCGAACTATGAAGGAGGATGCGAACGAGTCAAGATTGGTGGTCAGTATTTTCTCATAAAAAACTGTGAATATTTTGGATTTCAAAAAGTATGAATTGTAACATGCCGATTTATAAGTTATAATTATCGTATTGGTAATATATCGCAAGAATTCATTTTCTGAAAGTTGCTAAAAATTGCTCCATCCATTTTTTTGAAATTGAATAATCTTTATAAAAGATGTCTGATACTGCTGATCAGTTACATTCGAGACTAGAATCGACTGAAGCAAGGTTGAGAAGAACTGAAGAAGATCACAGCACCACGCTAGAAGATGCTCTCATGGAACTTGAAAAAGAAAAACAGAGGTGTGTGTTGATGTCCAATAAAATTTTAGTTGAATTTACTAACTTTATTTTTAGGTGTATAATTTCACGATAAAATCGTAATTATGGCTCTTAAGGTTTTTGGCACACAGCATACGAAGATACATCAACATAATACGCATTGAATTTTATTACGGCTTATTTGATATTAACTTTTCTAACTAGTTTCAATTATGACGTCATACTATGTTCATCATTTATGACAACCAGTATTCCATACCCTGTTTTCCAAAGTCCCTTTCCAAATGAAAAATATATATTCTTATGGATATAATTTGCCATTTACCGCACAGCATTGTATTCACTCGGTATTAAAGTCTAATATATAATCCAGGCTGATGTATTGTCAGGTGTATCGAGATATAATAATCATATATAGCAAATCGTCAATTTTGTTGAGTAATAAAAGTATGCGTGGCGCCTCGTCACCAAGCGCAACCAAGCGCAATTGCAATCGACCAATCAGAAACGCTCGTTTAGCGTCCCCAGTTATATATTACATTCGATATATTATTTATATTATACTTATTCTCTGCTAATACCGGCTATTCACAAATTCGTGTTATCTTAACGCTTTTCATAAAAGGGGGTTTTTGTTGTGAAATATTCTATACCAGACTTGGCCCAAAGATAGATGATTCACAGTGACATGAATTATCTTCGTTCCATGGGTGTTGGGACCCTGGATTGTAAAATGCGGTCGAACGTTATAAATCAATATATCAATTGCTTGAATACATACAAGTGTCATGGTAAATACTTAAACTGAAATTGTATATCTCGTTCGTTATTACTTGTTATATAGTTTTCGCACTTGACGACGATTAAAGTACTACTGCTATTGTGGTTGACCGCAAATGTCATCAAGTAGCCAAATGCATTCTATTCGTTACCAGCGATAATTTGATATTCAGATATGTCCAAGAATTTTGATTCAAGTGAAATAATATGATTAATCCATTAACATATGATTTTTAAGATATATGACAACCTGAATTAATGCTTTATTTTATATAATAATTAGTCGACTTGGCAGAGAAACTTAGCGATTTAAAATTTTCAGATTTGAAGAATGAAAATTACGAATAAAATCAGAATCAAAATTTTCGGGGTGCAGATTATCCAAATTTGCAGTATTGAACAAAAATCTGATTTTTTACAACGAAATAAAATTTTTGTTATAATTTAATAACTACCCATAATTGCAATTCCCGCCCTCAATTCCCAATACTGTATTGGGTATCGAAATAAATCGTTACAGCCTTTGGAATACTTAAACTATCTCTTCGCTCTCAGCAAGTCCACTGCAATGTTACATTTAGCGTTTCCCACACGTATTATAGAGATCCTGTTAAGTTAGATCAATATTATTGAATACAACTAGATAATACGAACATTAATCCACGGCTTGTCGTGATTGTCATCGGTAAATATATCGGATTTGTAGAAACGAAACTATGAATAAAGAGTACAGCATTACTTATGAAATAGACCATTACCAGAGTGTAAAATGTGAGTAGTACTGTTGCAGTTTTTTTTAATAACGGCTGCTAAAGTAGGATCAAAATTTAAATCAAACCCATATATTGCCATGAATAAATGAATGACGTCAAAATACATGGAGATTTAGTTTTTTGGGCTCAAAGATTTTCCTATAGAATGAAAGATTTGAAATTAAAAAATACGTTAACTTCTATCTTTTGCTGTCTTTCAAAGAAATTGAATATATCAACTATAATATCACATAGTTAACAAACACTTGATGGTAAATTTTCCTAGTTAGCAAAATAATAACATTTTATTTAGCATAATAATCAAAATTTTGACATTTTTATGTTTTTAAAAAAAAATGCTAATTTTATTACACTCGACTGCAGTGAAGTGAAAAATTCATTATCAGGTTCAATGTTGCTAAGTTCTGACCATCTGCTTATAATTGGAAGATTATTTTTTTTCAATAAGTTCTATTCTATTTACTATTTTCAAAAACAGATGCCAGAGTTTAGCTGAAGTCAATTCAATGCTCCGTGAACAACTGGAACAGGCGAACGAAGCTAATGCAACTCTGAGTGAAGACGTCAAGAAAGTAACGGAAGATTGGGAGAAGTCACGTGATGAATTCTCAAAGAGGGAATCCGACTGGAAAGAAGAACAGGAGGTTGTCACTCGATTTTTGCTTGTATTCCCTTTTAGTGAACGACCTATTTGAATTATGCTATGAATATAGGTTTTGGGTTAAAATCTGTGATGAGATTTAATATTTTAGAAGCGGGTTCTATTTCACGTCAAATTCACTATCAACAGGTTCCCTCACTCCTGAAAACCTAAAATAAAAAAAAACCTAAAAGCTAAAATAAAACTAGAACGGGTTCGCTAATTATCGCCGCATTACAAGAACGATTTGCGCAAGCCCCTGAATGCTACCCATACCACATAGCCTACTAATTACGATGAAAAGAATGGTTGGCACAATGAATTTTTCCAAAAATGACCTATCTGAACTGACTTTATTTTATTCCAGCAATTCAGCACTTACTTCGGAGATGAGCACAGCCGCTTGTTGGCGCTATGGCGCGCAGTTGTTTCTATCCGTCGCGGCTTCACGGAATTGAAAACGACAACCCAACGTGACCTCACCAATGCTATGACCGATGTACAGGTATTTCATTAGGAATATTTTTGGATTATATAGTTAATGTTATTAGCAATAGGGGTGAGTATATACTAAATTAAACTAAATTAAATTTTGTCAACGATATTTTCCAAACTTTTTTCCAATCTTCATGAAATTGATCACTCGAGCTACTGACATCTTTGTCGCTAGGATAAACATATATGCAATAATTGGCACGTCAATAGTCTTCTACTAGTACTACCCGTTTGAGGTAACATGCATCAAACAAATAAACCGAATACTATATATTGAAGTGATAATGAATGCTATATTGATATTTATTTGCATAACCTATAAAAAAATTATATTCGTATAATTCGCAGCGCGGAGCTCGTCAGTTACATGCAGCCTGTTTGAACTTAAATGCAAATCAACGAGTACAAGACACTTCGGCAAAAGTATCATTGGAAAAAGAAAAAGGAGAACGCGGAGATTTGGAAGATCAACTTCGTTCCAAGGTTTGGCGATTAATAAATTAGATTCCGATTATGTATAGTCAAAAGTCGTCATATAAGAACAAATACTTATATTATATTATGTGCACCAAGATGGCGCACAACCTGAACCCTCATCTGGTACACATACTATGTTCAGGTTGTGCGCCATCTTGGTGCTCATACTTTGGGAGCACCAAAGCATTTTGTTTGAATTCAGGTGTTTTCAACCACTGGTCGTTTTTGAATCGCATACTTTATTTTGTGTTTAGACAACAGGCATTGTTGCGTGATTTTGAAGGTCCCCCGGTCAGCAGTTTTTTTTTTGAGTATCCACGTTCATGCAAACTGAATAGGATAAAAACCTCCATATCTAAACGGCAATTATTTCAATTGTTATCATAGGTGAAAGAAATGCTTCAAATGCAATCTGATTTCGAAGACGAAAAAGCGAGATTGAACTCGAGAATCAACGAATTGGCGGTTGGACTTGATAGATCGAAATTGAAGGTAGCAGACAGAGATCGCGCAATAGAGGAATTGGAGTCACCAAGAAAACAAATGGTAGGTTTTTAAAAACAATGACGTCATATACGATGGCGTCATATTTGATGACGTCACGAACGATTTGGTTAATCTTCCTGTATTCGATCAAACTATATGTATGGTTTTTTCATATACGTAGTTTATTTATTTTATCTTATATGTAGGAAAGCACTCGCTTGGATGAAGCACCGTCAGCCGAAGAGGAGATTGCCCGACTCCACGCAGAGAAATTGGCAGTTGAGCAAAGTTTGAGAGATATTGCGCAAACTGTAATTGCTGATGCTGATTTAGCTGTGGCATTGAGTGACAGTCCTCGTGTTGGAGCGGCATTGGATGAATTGTCCGAATCAATGATGGATCTTGGACTGCAGTCTCCAAGGTAATAAGATGCTGTTAGAAAGAAAGTTCGGTTGTTTTATTTTAAAATTTGATGCATTTTAGTGTTTAATTGACTAATTGTTGCTCGAATATATTACCCAAATCAGGTTAATTTAACCAATTAAATAATTTTAAAGTCTCTTTATAACATCCTATATATCAAAGCTCTACCGCTATTTGACTCATCTCCGTTGTCCAGCTTTAATCCGGGCAGAGTACTTCTGTTCTTTGGACCACTTGGCATACTTGATCTCATCAAATACTGCTTTGTCCTATTACCGCTTAGTGTTAGTGGGTCCTTTAAAATGAATGAATATTATCAAACGAAATTTCCAGCAATCATAAACTACAGTACAGTACAGCACCAAAGGATTTTTTTCCGATCAGGTTTGTCTATTGTTATCCTAACTAGTTAGTCTCCACCTCAGTATCCTTTCCATGAATTTTTCAGTCAGCAGCGCCCCCGGCTTCACTTTGAGTAGGAAAATCTGCCAAAATGAAACCGAGTGTAATAAAAAGCGTTGTCCCGATTCCAAAAAAGTTTTAACACCAACTTGATCAATTTAGTCTTTCGCAAAAATGACGTTTTGCATATTGACCGTAGCCATGAAAAACTTCTCTTTGGCGCAGGACTAACATTTGAATTGAATTTTTATTTTGAAGTAGTAAATACTATCAAATAAGCCGATTAGTAGTAATATCGTGAAATTGTCGTTATTTACATGAGAGTTTATCCCTCTACACTTTGGAATATACAGTATAGTAATTCTATCTATTCATTTTGCAATGAGCAATACAAGCTATATTTTCCATTATTTCACAAAATTCTGACCGCAATGCGCATATTTTTAAGTCGAGTACGAACTGTTGATGTATCACACTTCAGCATTCCATGTTCAAGTCACTGTTTGACAGACAATACCATTGACGTCACTGGAATTCGCGTTCGCGCTTGTATCTTTATTCATTTTACACTCGCGGGCCACGAAAACCGCTTCGGATTTTTTCGAACACTTCATCGTCGTGTCAACAACCCTTACAAAGGTTAGTTTTAGATACTTGTGGACAATCGATAACGTTAAATACCAATGTCACAAAGATTGTTAGATTCAGAGCAATAGACGATCGCAAAGTCTACTTTTGCGCTAGAAGTATTGCAAGGTGTCAGCAGAAGAATATGATTTTTTTATGAAGACAGCATGTATCTTTTTCTAATTACGAATGCTTATGCGAAGCAAATGAATTTTGTGCAGCAACAGATGTTATATAAGTTATTATTAAGACAGTAAGCAATTTGCTATGAGAATCTTACAAAGTTTAAATTTATACACGTTTAGCAAATGTAGAATGGTTCAATTCTCATGCAGTAGCTCAATGTTTATTGCCCTGTAGTAAAAAAAAGTTAGTGAAAATGACTTGAAATACCTAATCACCTCTGAATATTGGAGAGATTTGCATATCACTCTCGTTTTCATCAGATTATGAAGTAACATAGTATTCTTTATAAAAAAAAAATGGCGGAAAGATCTACCTCATCAAATATAATAGTCGGGAGATGTACAACTTCAAGCCCTCATTATATTAATCTAAATAGGAATCAAGATAAGCACACAACTCCTACACGTAACGGGCATAGGATACGATTAACTTCATATGAAAATGAAGAATCTGTTCTCAGCAGTCCTGAAAATTCTCCAGAGACAGGAGAATCGAAAATACGGTTCGATAGAGAAGGAAGAAAGTGTAAAAAAATTTTGTCGGATATCATAGAACATGACGAAGATAAAAATAATGAAAATTTGTTATTCGGAGACGATTGTTTTAAAATCGATCCGACGTCAACTTATTTGACAACATTTGTAAGGGTTAGCCCGCTGTCAGCTAAAGGGTGGGTTTCCACGAACACGATTTTTGAGTTATTTTAACTGTGTTTTTTATCTTCGGAGTTGGCCATCACGCTAACTTATCAAACTTTTTTGTTTTAGTGTGGGTGCTGAATTCCTGTAATTGAACTTTAAAAGTAATTGAGCTTTTTCTATACATGGTTGATCGCAGTAGCATGTACCCAACTACTGCTTCTCTCCCCCTGTATTTGTGTTATTAGAACGCTTTGGATTTACTGTAGTAAGAAACTTGGTCAACCGTTTATATTGAGTTGTGGACGAAAGTCTTGCATCAAACTTTTACAAATTTAATTCTTTAGCGTTTGAAGTGATCTTTGTTGTAAACTACTCATCTGAGGAAGTCCGACTTAAGTCAGACGGAACTTTATCAAATGAAATTAATTCATATTCAATACCGTTATATTAGCGATAATATAGTATGTCTATTTCTATCACAGATATTTGAATATACATTCAGTAAAACACCCTAGTCCCTTTAATATTATTAAACAAAATTCAATTTTCTGTTATTTTACAGTCGTGGACTTTCTCCTCACCGTTCACCATCTCCCGGTCGAAGATCCCCACGTCGTAACAGATCTCCTGCAGTGCGTGGCGTTTCTCCTTCATTTGCCGATTCCACTTACAACGCTGTACAGGCAGCATTACAGAAACGTCAACTTCAAGTACAGGTTTGTAATTTATGCGAAATAATGAATGAAGTTCTTTACAACGGGCCCAATACAATGACAAAAAAGTGCTCCATGATTAGAGATTGTCTGATTTTATCTGCATAACCGTGAACCTGTATCAAAGCTATTCCAGTTATTCGAATAGAAGCAAACCACAAATTATGCGAATTATTTAAATAAAAGTGAAACACAAACTATTTGCAAAAACCGGGGCAAAAATTCATTCTGGATACCATACAAGAAATTGGTTTGGCCTTTTAGTATTGTGTATTTTTCTCGGTATCCTCGGGAAAGTCAGAGGTATTCAAATATTTGAAATAGAAGCGAATAATGAATCCCTTTACGCAGAAAATCAACCAATATCGATTACACATTCGATTACATTCTCCAGTCCAGGTAGCTCCATTCAAAATCTTAGGTATGATGTCAAAAATTTTTAATTTAAAAGCTTCAATTCAAAGAATTTAAAGAAGAGTATGCAGTGTCCTATTGAATCCCCAATAAAATGATTTTACTTATTTATTTCAAAATTCTATCATCTTCAATCACAGGAACTTCGTGCCAAACTCGATGCCGCTCGTGATGCAGCATCGTCAGTCAAAAAACAACTTTCTGACAGTGAAGTCAGCAGACGATCCATTGAAAACGAACTGTTGGCCTTGAAGGAAGATCTGGATTCCACTAAACGAGCTAAGGATGATGCCCAGAGGGATGCTTACAGATACAAGTCCAGTGCTGAAGTTGTTGGAAGGTTTGTGAACGATTTTTTCCAAATTGATAGAAAAAGAAGAATATTGTAATTTTCTAGTATTTATTCATGGAGCATCGTGATTCATTTGTAGAGCAGCTTTTAACAGGAGTAATTAAAGTAGCCAGACAATAGGGTGGGCATCTCAGAATATTGAACCCAAAAGATCAAATCCCAAAGTATCCCAGAATAGAATATGGTTCGGTATTCTGGCTTGAATTCAACTATTCTAGCATAGTAATTTATTCTGATTGCTCGTTCCTACCGCTATTTCTAATAAGAAAACAGAATTTGTAAGGAAGCATTTTTCCATTCAAGCTCAAGAAGGTTTTATACAAGCCACTAGGTTGTATATATATAAAGAATGTGGGATGAAGTTTGTAAGGATGAATGTTCAACCCCGAGATATTCAAGCTGAGATGCTGATATATTTACGCTTTTTATGATTATGTCACCGTGCCCATTTACGGTATTATAACATTATTTCAAAATTTATGTCATGTTTTCTTTCAAACTTAGCGAAAAACAAGAACTTCGTCGAGTACGTCAAGAACTTCAAGCAAGGATCGATGCATTACAAAGCGAAAAGGAAAAGCTACAAGCTGCTAATGCAGAATTGCAAAGACAGAGAGATAACATCGAAGACGAAAAAGACGATTTAGTGAAGGATTTGATGAGAAGAGAAAAAGATTTGTCAAGAGGGTGAGTCATTATATTCCTCATTTGAAAATATTTTAAAGCCGAAGCAAGATGACCTATAGATAATTTTCTAGAATAGTTTTCCTAGCAATGGTCGAAATAAGGTCCCATAAAAACTTTTTTGAGGATTTCAATACTCATAATTTAGTATATTGTGTATGGCTACTTGGGACACCCTTATGGGCACCACTTTCTTTATACCTTTATACCCTCATCCAAGATTATATTAAAGTTTTTATCAGTATTATTTTGCGTTATATTTTAAGATTTCGTTTTTAGCAACAAATTATAGCTTATTGTCTTTATTTTTCCAGTCATAAGATGGTTGAAGCAATGGACGGAAAACAATCTTCACTTCGGGAGGAACTAGTTTCTGTTAAAGAGAAGTTAAACAGAGCTTTACTCGACAAAGAAGTTATGGAAGCAGAAAAGACTGAAGTTTCAGAAGCATTAACAAAGGTGAGACTATTTTTTTTCAGCTGGATAGTCAAATTCACCAATTTTTATGTTTTCTGAATACGGAAATTTTCAGTAATTTGGTAAATTGTAACTCACTTTTTCGAGACTCGAAAAAAATTCGACAAATATGACAACGGTAATTCTTAGCTTAAATCTGCTTGTGTTGCTCCACGAAAGCTATAAGTTGGAATCATTATATAATCAATATAAAGTCAATATTATTCTGAGAACGTTCTAAACCCGAACAACTTGAAACGACCTGAATATATATAAGAATATCATTTGTATGGCGCGGTGGTTGAAGTTTGGCGATGATAATGCCAAATGGATTGTTCGTATGCAAGTACCGTTTGTGCAATGCAATGCAATGTATTTTCATTGTTTCATAAATTACTATATGAGCCTGTCGTAAAGGGTATATTATCATTTTAACATGTTTTTAGAGAACCTTGAACACTTTTAATTTTTATTCACAGGTTGAATCGGCTAACGCTGAAATCGAACTTGCTTTGAATAAACTGAAAGCAGAAGAAGCATCTTTACGTGATCAATTGGCAAAAATGCAAGCTTTGAATGAAGGTTTAGCTCAAGATAAAGTTGATTTGCATAAAGTTATCGCACAGGTAATGTATTATAATCAGGGATGGTCATATACCCATAGCATTGTATTTAAAAAATTATTTCCTGTAGTTATTTTTGCTTTCGAAGGAAAAAAAATGATTGAACATTCCTCACAATAAAAACATTGCAGAAGTTAAGATGTGCTTTGTGAATATTCACATATCGGAGTTAGTACTTATGTCATGAAAGATTCGCATTAAAATACCGACAAAACATAGACAAAATTTATCCCCGGCCTACGTGTAACAATGAATAGCATATCTATGTTCCTCTATACTCTATAATATCACTGTAAAAAATTATAAAAAAAATTAACTGTACTTTTGTAGTAGTGGTATTATTTATATATTCGTCATACTCGACCAATTTGAGCTATTTATGAAATTGCTTTAGGAATAGTGATCGATATATATTCTGAATTGGAATTACCTCTCCCGTAGAAAAATAATGAACTGTTTACAGTTACACCCACTCTAAGATTGTTCTAATTATCATACTGTAATCTATGTTGACCCACGAGCCACGACTTCTTATGCCATTTAGCTTGTCCTACAACTTGCAATACTACAAGGCTACAAAATTCTCTTACAACATTTTAGATGGAAGAGAAGCATGCAGCTCTTGGTGCTGAAAAGAATGATTTGGCACAAGAGAAAGACTGCATTCGTGCTGAACTTATCAAGACCGAGCAAGAGAAAATGGATCTTCATAACGAGAAACAAGGATTGGATCAGAGTTTACATCTGACACAACAAAGCAGGGAACAATTGGAACAAGATTTGATGATGTTGCATAGAGAAAAAGCTGAACTGACAGATAGCTTGGCCCAGGTAGAGTTGATAGAATTGTACATTTTTGTATTTGAGAAAAAACTAAGATCAGAAACATATGCCATTTTGTTAATATCGATAATTGTATCGATATCGATATTGGCGACTGAACTTTATTTTGCCGCGGAAGAATTGACAAAAAATGATTACAGTATATCTATACTCTGAAGTTGAAAATTTAAAATCGAGTCAATTTTGTCTGATCACCCGTTTAAAAAATTTATTCAAACTAACGAGACTACTCTCTGTTTATCCAACACAGACTTCTAGACAACGTAAAGCACTTGACGAAGAATTGCAGAGAGCAAATGAAGATTTATTACGTCAAAGTGATTCTATCAACAAATTATCTCGCGAAAAAGAAGAATTAACAAAAGAAAAGGCGAACTTGGTTGTTCAACTCACAGCTTGTGAAAGAGAAAACAGAACGCAGTCAGAAGAAATTGCAGCATTGAGGTATTTTAAAAATTATTTTGCTATTTTGTGCTCTGTAATAAAATTGCAATGCTACCGGCATATCTCAGCAATATGATTCTATTTGAAAGTGTCCTTCCATAGATTTCGAATTTGTATTTTTCTGACTTATCTATAACAAGAATATTTATAAATAGTCCCAGCTGTTTACGGGAATCAATTGACTTTTTGTGGACGACTCAATTTTTTTCCCTCACAATGACGTCACAATGTCTATAAGTTGGTACGACTATGAATTTTGAACATTGGTGCGCGCGTAAGCCTATTTTTCTGTCCCATTGTGAATCATATTTTTAATTGCACTAGTTACATTTCTAAACTTTGGAACAAAATATAATATTATTTTTTTGCACACCAGAATTTAACTCGCTAATATACCAATTCGGCAGTAATCTTAATTTAACAAAACGGGACTTTTTTCGAACCAATTTATGTAATTGTAATAACCTTCATCGACTTTTCAGATCCGACAAGGAGGCACTTGAGACCAATTTATTCGACTGTCAAGCGACCGGAGGAGCACTCGATGCTAAGAAAGAACAGCTCGAAACAGAAGTCCAAAATATTCAGTTGAAGAACGAGGGACTCCAAAGTAAATAAATGACTAAGATAATTCCCAGTGTGAGAAACAATGTTTACTGTTAACAAATCACAATAATTCCAGTGACATTTTGAGGTGTTCAAATAACTTATCTGAAATGTTTATATCCTTTTTTTTTATTTTATACTATCCCTTGCTATACTATGTTTTATACCTTATTCTCTACATAATTCTGGTGAATTTATCATTTTTATGACAAAATGTTTCCATTTTTAGTTGAAATCGGGCGTCTTCGTCAAGAAATGGAAGCTGAAGTCTCCAAATTGGAGAGAGACAAGCAATTACTTAACCAGAAAATGATTCAGCATGAGAGAGAATCTCAAGTTGCACTCAAAACTGAGCAACAATCTCACGAAGAGGATATTGAAAAGAGTACTCGTGAGAGGGTAATATAATTTTCTGACGAAGCTTTTATCAGAGATATCTACCAGACACCATACCATATTTTGACCGATATCGATTATCCGATACTTGAGATTTGAGATTGACCAAAATCGACGATTTATTCTTCATTATAGATTAATTAATTTTATATCAGTCAAATGTCAAAGACAACACTTCGCCAATATTTAAAATTAAAATTTAATTAGTGATCATATTGACATTGGAAGTTTCATCAGTTGCCCTTATTACTTTCCTGAATATTTGTATATTACTTCCAAAAATTCCCGGTAAGAAAAAGTATCTAGTCAAGCTCTAAATCAAATTTTTAGTACCGAGAGCTGTGTAGTTTATTATAGCATAGCAACTTACAGTACTTTGGAGTGACATAGGTTTCGGTACGTACTCTTCACTGAAAGATGTCAACGATTTTGAATTAACATACAAACTGAATTGCGTTTGCTTATCTTTCATTTTTTTAGTTTATTTAAAATAATATATTTTATGTAGGATACTCTGCGTTTGGAATTACAAGCCGAGAAAGAAGAAGCTCTTCATCAATCTAACCTTGAAAAAGAAGAAATGATCGCTAAATACGAAGCAGAAAAGCAAGAATTAAACGAAGATATTGAAGCTATCAACCAGGTAAATTTTTCGAATCTTTCCACTTTCAGTTGTAACAAGACTCATGACAAGGACCTTTCGATACGTAGTAAGGTGATAAGAATATAAATGGCTCTTAATTTTTGGCATAGTCTGTCCTAACCTTCTTTCAATTTGGTTGAGGTAACCTACCACAATCTCACTAAAACGTGCCCAGAGTTTCGAGAAAAATCGAATTGCCGTTCAACCTGTTCCGTCATAAATTTTTTTATCGATTTTGCGATTTAGCAATTTCAGAAATTTGTTAATAGTAAATGCATGGTTACTGCACCTAAGGTAAGTGAAATGTTGTAATGTTTTCATTTAGCAATATCGAATTTGACATAAAATCCTAATAAATTCGAAACGACAATACATTTTTAAATAAAAATGGTCCCTTAGCAAAAAACTTCACAAAATTTTAAAATGAATATTTTTGATTCTTCTTTGTATATCTAAGTTCAAACGGGGTTTTTCTCACACGGTATATTCTATTATTATAAACATATAACGCGACGGCTGCCTTTATTTTTGTTATGTGTAACCTAATCCACACAGACGATGTCGATATTGTTATCATTATGAAAAATATTTTTATTGGTGGCTGGCGCTCTATTGTTATCATGTACCCAGTGTCCTTGAGATATACATCAGTTTGTCAGTAAGTACGCCGACCAGATGTTGCCGTTATCTAGCTTAGCAAGCTGTATTAGAGTTATGGAAACAGCAGTGTCGACTTCTCAGCAAAAATGGTGACGTCGTCGAAGTTGTAGTACAACAAAGGGTAGACTTAGATTCGAAAACTCAGGCTTTACCCGTATTATATATTTATCTATATAGCGATTATTGCAGTGTCTACATAAGTACAGCTTCTTTTCCCATTGCCTTATTGTTAATGGATCCGTATATATAGATTGTAGAAAACTGTAGCAAAAATCTTTAAAATATTGGGTCTTTAAAACGGATAGCGTTACACTTCCATTAAATTATATTTTTCAAATTATTTTCAAAACTTCCAAATTTTTTTTGGCATATAACGATTAGTTCAGCGATTAATTGAGTTTGAGTGACTTTATACAGGATAGGTATCGTCTGTTCTTGTAATATCACTTGTGGCGAGTTGTCATATTTTATATTTAGCTTGCAACGGCACATTAGCTGTATGTATTGAGATAGAATAGGGACCCAATCTAGATAGATAATCATGGATACGCAAGTTATGTTTCGTGCATCACGTTATAACAACTGGATGAAAGATAGGTTTAGTTTGGCGAGGTTAGCTGAAGTAAGTATAACATAATAGTTGAGGATGGGGAATATTTAGACTTAATTAACACTTTTTTACGTTTTCACTCCGAATAAGGCTCTGCTTAGGTATCTAGTGATATGTACGTAGCTATTCAATTCCAAAGCTGTAATTATTGAGCCATTGAACGCCTAAATCTATATATATCAAGGCTTGTTCAAATATGTATGAATATTTAGATATTCGCGAAATCAGGACAAAATTGTTATTTCAGACCAAAAACAAATTTTTTAAAAAGTGAAATTACAAAATTCTAAATTCTTATTTTTTTAAATACAGTTTTCTGTATAAAACACTAAATTCGAATTTCTTTCAAATTCGAAGTTGATGTCGTTCTACGGACTCGGTTCCTGAAGAACCTATGTTATCCTCGCAATAGAATTTAAGTTTATAATATCCCCGATTGGGGACAATATTGCAATATTAATCAGCAATATTAAATATCACCATATTTACTTTGATCTTTTCACAAAACAGGAACACAATGAAGCACTCATCATGGCCGAAGCCGAAAAACAACAAGTTCTCTGCATGAAAGAAACAGAAAAGAATGCTTTACAAGAAAAATTGAATCAAACTCTGAGAGATTTGAGAGAACAAGAATCGGAATCAGAAAAACTGAGGAGAGATGCTTTGTCAAAACAGGAACAAGATCGGGTAAGTCCATCATTATAATTTTGTACCTGCCGTTTCCCATTTTTGTATGTTAAACCACGTTACCTATAATTAGGGCTAGGCATTTTCGAACCTTGTGATTTCAGAATCGAATCGAATAATTTTTTCGAATCGAATCGAATCTCGAATACTTGAAAATATATAATTGTAAGCGACTTTATTACAGTAATTGGTCCTCTCAACAAATGAATTACTGAAGACAGAATAAATCACTCAGATAGATTACTGAGCGTTCACACAGAATAACTCACTACAGGAAATAGTCATATGTTAGAATTTCGTTGAAAAAATATGACTCCAATGAAAAAAAACTTGGGGAATTCACCTCGACCATTAGCGGAAAGATAAAAACAAGATTCGAATATTCGATTCGAAATGCCCAGCCCTACCTATAATTTATAAATGAGTTGTTCGCTATATACATGATCTCAGAGGCGAAGATTCTTTTTCATGTTTGTAACATTTTGGCAAATCTATAATTTCTCGAGTCGAAACTTTCAACTGTAAAATATAAATTTCAATGTTCTGTTTCGGGAATCAGAGTTTTCGTCGTTGGTTAAAACCGAAGACAGTTTTATGAATTGCTCGGCGTCGGAGTCAGATTGGACTCCATAGCCTTCTCACCAATAAACGCCATCTGCTAAACCTCCTAAAGTATCATCCATCACTTGAGTGCAAATGCAATATTACGTTAAATAAAAGATAATTCTAAAATAAGTTGTTGAGTAAACTCGAATTTTGATGTACTTTGCTAGAAGACTGGTATACTATTTATTTTCATTTCATTTAATAAACGTATTATTTCCAGGCCACACTCAACCACAAATCTCAAGAATTGAAAGATTTCCGAACTCAATTTGAACTGAAGACAGAAGCTCATGAACGTGAAGTCAAACAACTCAATGAAAACATCAAACAACTGCAAAAAATGAGAGAATCCGCTCTGAAAGAGGTTTGTAGAAGAATTATTTCAATAATAGTTGATATTAATAATAATCAATATAATGTATTTTGTGGTAATATTTACTATGCCTCTAAGCTAAAAATATAGATAATACTATATTGCTAAGATTTTGCCGAAGCGCTCAAGATCTCTTTAAATTTGTTATACACGTTCAGAGGTTAATCTATATTTACCACTCAATTTGTTCCTTTCTCACTCAGGTTGAGGAGTTGAAACTCCAATTACGTATGGTTGAAGATGCAAGGGATGGAGTGAGAAGAGATTTGATTGAAGCACAAAGAAAGGTAAAATATATTATTGATTACCTTACGCCTGTCATACGTCTGTAAAAAAAATACAAATTCGTAAAACTCCTCATATTTCTACTCAAGGTGAGGGAGACAGAGGAAGCACGTGATTCTCAAAGAAAAGAAAACTTGGAGTTGAAGAGAAATGTGAATGACGAAGTACATGAGAAGGATGCGGTGCAAAAAACTAACATGGAATTGAGAAATAAGGTCAAGAAAGCTGAGCAAGAGAGAATTGCACTAAAGGTGAGTAGATATTATATTTATCGTCTACTTAAACAATAAGGATATATATTTAGTGTGTTCCAGCAACTAACTTCTCAAATCTTAATTTTGTACTATGATATTATAGAGAGCCAACGAAGAGAAAGACCAGAAGATTTCAGTAATGGAAGAAAGCAGATCTGGGGTACAAAAAGAAAATGGCGATTTGAGAGCCAGTCTTCGTGAAGTCGAGAGAAGTCGCTTAGAAGCAAGGAGAGAATTACAAGAACTTCGCAGACAAGTAAGTCCAAACATTATAGCAGATTAAACATCCACTAGTCGTACGACATTTGGGCTGTGCCGTGGTAACATCAAATATTTTACTACTAAAGGTTAAAATGCTTGACGGTGAAAACAACAAGAAATCGAAAGAACTTGAAGACTTGCAAGCCCGCGTATCACGTGACGAGGAAAGAGAAGAAGAATCGAGGAAGGAATCGTTTGGATTGAAACAGAAGATTGTCGCTACCGAGGCGAGCAAAGAACAAGCTCTCAAAGAGGTAACATGATCCAGACATTTTTATGAATATTTTGGAGTTCGGTCACCGGAAATCTCATTGGTTTAGGATTTGATTAACTGATTAACTTTATGCTTATAACTATGTTATACCTTAGTCACATTCTCCCACTTATGCAGTTAATGGGGAATACCGTTACTCGTTTAGAATAAACTGTAATATGTTTTTGTCATAGTCCTGTCAATACGCCGAAGGAAATATGTAATATTTTGTTAAAAGTAACAAATTTACCACAAGCAGAAACATTTTAGCTGCGAAATTCAATCCAAATTTACTATTTTAGAATTCGCTTCTCACTCGCAAATTGGCTGAAATGGATGAAGAATGTAGACTCCGTGAACGCGATTACCTTGCACAACTTGCTGAAGGTCATCAACTAGAGAAGAGATTGAAAGACGATGCCAGAAATCTTGTGATCAAGTTGGACGGTACCGAGGAAGAGTTGGCTGAAAACAAACTAAAATTATCAGCCGCGGAAGGCAGGATAACTGGGCTCGAAAACGAAATCGTCAAATTAGAAGGTAAATTCTGATCTCAATTATTACGTCATCATAACGATGTCAAATCTGATACGTGAGGTTATCATTTTTATTCAGGCGCCAAACGTGACGTTGAATTTAAACTTGGAAGCCTACACAGTGCTCTGAGACGAACTTTAGGAATTTCTAGGTTGGGCAGAACCATGAGCCCGATGAGAGGAAGCCGATCTATCAGTCCTTCACCTAGAAGGTAGGAATATAGTAAAAAAAAAATAAATAAATAAATCCATTTTTGTTTTACACGTTTTTTGTACTACTCATAGTTTTGCTAACTTCACGTATTTAAGATTACTTTTAAAAAGAAGAAGATTGAAATGGATTGTATGCGTTTAAATTCAGTGTTCCCAGCTTGCGAATAAATATAATTTCCACGCGTTTTGTACAAAATTATTTTGTCGTCGTTTGCAGACGCTCAAGATCACCAGGCAAAGGATATGATAATACATATACCACAACAACTGACGGAAGAGGAACACCGATACCAGATACTGGATCACCTGACCGTAGCAGAAGCATGTCACCGGGATTGGCTAGATCCGGATCTCCATTGTAAGTCACATAGTATAATCTTTTTTCTTATATTGCATGGGAATTTTTACATATCCTATACTTTTTAATCAGGAGTTGGGGTTACGCGAGACTAACTGCGATATTCGAACTCCATGGTTTTGGGATGGGGGATCCGTATGCGTATAATGCAACGATGTTGTAGCGAAGACGACTATATGACTATCTATATTTTGTATTTTGTGGCAGTAGATTTTACCAAAATAAAACTAATATTTATAGACGAACGGAACAACTTGTCCAAGATATCGACCCAGAAGTAGTCCGAGCATCTTTGAGAGATTTCTTGCAAGAATTGAAAGACACTCAACGCGAGAAAGATGACGCGAAGATAGAAGGATCAAACCTGACCAGACAAGTAAGAATTTTTATCTTCCAATTTGTGCTGTTTTATTATATATATAGTTTATGCTCAATAAAACGACAATGTCAATGGTAGGGTCGTTTTCTGTTAAACATGGTCAAACACAATGCGTCACGTCTCATTCAGAGTGTAATAAATTTGAGAAGCCATGCCACAGAGTGATTCATATCTTTTCATAAAACAAACTATAGCGTTCGAATGAAATTTGACTGCGACTCCGAGTAAAGTCCTGATAACGTAAGCTATAATCAACTTGGTTCTAATTCAATTTTTCTTCTTCATTTATCATATTTGTACTTTGCAGTTGATGGAAATGGAAGCTGACAGGGATCGGGCAAACCAACGTCTACAACAACTCCAGAAATCTCTCGGAGAGGCGGAAGAAGGAAAGAGGGGTTCAGATGGAAGACTTGCTTCTGCTCAGACCGCTCTTATGCTCCAAGAAGAAACGATCAGACGACATGAACGAGAGAGGAAAACAACAACCGAAAAGCTCGCAAATATTGAACGAGCACTGCAAAATGCTGACAATGACAGACGAACATTGCAAGTAAGTGAATGCTTCACATGTCAGTTATTTCCACCATTAACAGTGTACTACTGAGACATTAATTGAGCAAAGTCTAGCTGATTTACATTTTTTGAGCTTCATAGCTCCAAATGAAATACTGAGACAAGCTCACACTTAAACAGTAATCTAGCTTACTTGATTATGAAAGTCTATCTACGTTTAGGAGTTTGAATTTTTTACCTTTATGAATGACAATTTTATTGATTGTCAAATCAACACTTAATTTTTTTTTATCTTCAGGACAAACTCAATAAAATGAAAGCAACTGAAGCACGATGTGAATCCGATAAGAAAAAACTGAAAGATTCATTGGAAATGAGTGAACAGAGAGCGACTAAACTTGAGCTTGCACGTAGAGCACTGGAAGGAGATTTGCAGAGAAATAAACTGAATACAAATGATAAAGAAACTGAACTACAGGTTTGGAAATATATTCTAATATATGAAAAGTTGAATTGTTTTTCAGAAGGCTCAGAATATGGACGCACTTATGAAAATTAAGACAGGTTATGCTACCCTCAAAGCTTATTCAACTCATTTTTGTGTACTAAGTTTAATATTCATCGCTTCGTCCTTTGTATTTAAATGTATTACATTTGAACCGTGCCTTATAAATTTATTGGTATGACGTCACTTTTGGCAATATGGTGTCACATTTTCACACATTGTCACAAGGGACAGCTCCTATACGATATCCCAATACGTTACCTCTAAGCTGTGTTCGTTTTATCTAACCTACCTATTACACACATCAGTTATATGTAATGTTTTTGCTGTTTTAATATCGAAGGTTCTCCAAGAAAGAAACAACAACCTAGCTAGACAAATTCAAGATTTGGAAGGAAAATGTACTTCGCTTCAACTTACCATTGATAGACTCAGTAATGCATTAGCTAAAACAGAGGAAGGAGAAAGTCAACTGAAAGACAGGGTATGTGTTTTGTAAAGTGTGTGTATGTGTAAATTATATGTGCGTGCTACGAACCCGTTGTTAAAATGAGATGTGAAAATAATATTTAGGTTATGTGTGAAACGTCCGAACATGTGTCTGTGTGTGTGTTTGTGGTTTTCATGCACTTGTCGTGCCTATGTGACATCGCGATAAACTAAATAACAATATATACATTGGATAAAGTTTTTGGGCATAAAGACCACACAGAAGACTATAAAAGCTCGTTTATGGTATTAATCCCAGTAATTTAGTCCGAAATTTAAAATGTTCAATCTTCTCTCTTAAATGATACCAATTATAAACATGTTTTCGTCTTCACCCAGGTCCAGTCTCTCTCGTTGTCCATGTCAGAGAGGGACAGCACTACCAGTAACTTACAAGAGAAAATATCTCAACTGCAAAAACTGCTTACCGTCAGCGAACACGATCGCCGAGTACTCCAGGTATGGATAATCTAATTTATTATATGATCTTACTAATGAGTAAAGCGGCCAACCCTAACTATCTTTAGACAAACCCAATGGTGCCAAGAGCGAGTAATGCTTTTAAGTTGAGTCGGGCTAAGGTACCGACTGGAAGATGGTTATTTTTTTCATATTGTAAACGTAAAGATACCTAAACCTCTTTTCCGTCGCTTTTTTAAAGAATCATGTCATGCTGTCGCTTCTCGTCTTTAATTAACACCGTTCCAGAAAGATATGATATATAATTTTAGAGCTATTGTAACTGTGATTCAATTTTTTTTTACTATATTTTCGTTTTATAGGAAAGACTGGAGGCCGCACGGCAAGCAGTCGCTGATGTGAAAAAGCAAAACAATTCACTACAAGAGAGAATCCAAGCAGTCACTCATGATAACGAAGATTCTGAAGTAAGAAGATCTGAACTCGAAAATCAATTGAAGGGTCATCAGAAAGTAAGACTTCGATTCAATATTCTCTCTCTTGAAACTTCTTTGTTTTTATCATACTCTTTCACATATTATTGTTTCCTTCATTTCTCTCACCACCTTGCAATAACATTAAACGTTTCCTTATTGCTTCCAAGCTACTCTCACAACATCAAGATACCGAGACAAACTCAAACGAGAGAATTCAGAAGTTACAAGACGAAAAAAGAGTCTTACAAGAGAGAATCACAGGCTTACAGAGAGCAATTGCCCAACTCGACGCTGAGAAACGAGAGACCGAACGCAGTGCAGTGAGACTGGAAAAAGACAGAACTGCATTGAAGAAAACCCTGGACAAGGTATTCAGTTTTTCAATAGACTCGAAATTCCATAAAAACCTATATTTGGTGTGCAATTTATTGAAGAGATTATAACTGATATGATTTCTATTCAAAATTTGTTAGTTTGTGCTATCGACTATATGTACCAATAACTATTTCTTTATTTTCACTAAGGTTGAGAGAGATCGACTCAAAACAGAAGAGGAGGCAATGAGATTATCTGAAAATAGAGGACAATTAGACCGATCTATCAGGGATTTAGAATCAGAGATAGAAGAAGCACATAAAACAATACAGGTTGGTAAATTCTGTACTTTAATATGCTCAATGCATTCAATCCCGCTCCGACATTGTCCACTCAATTTCTCACGTCGTTATTAATAAGTTACTGGCGGTTAAGGAAGCATGACTATTGGCGATTAAATAAGTCAATGGAGATTAAAGTGATAGGTTTGGGTTGTTTGCTGTATTAACACATATGAATTTGGTGAAGAGTATCGAAATAACCTATCATTTTTCAACAGGCATTGCAAGCTCAATTAGCTGATACAGAACAAGCTCATGCTGGTAGATTGATAGAAATTACAACAAGGCATCGGCAAGAATCTGAAATGGAAATCGACAGACTACGAACTGCACAAGTACAAGCCGAACGCACATTAGAAGCAAGAGAGAGGGCTCATAGACAGAGAGTAAAAGGACTCGAAGAACAGGTAAAAATGAACACTTATTTATCTAATTGTGCTGTATATAGGATGTAAATAATTCTTCTGTCTGGAAAGTCGGGAGCGGCCGAAATGTGCCACAATTTTATGAGACTTTTAACATCGTCTCTCCGAAGTGAAAAGCACCACTGATTTTTTTGTTCAACATTGCCTATCCATTGTTACACATGGGCGAGGTGGTGAGAGTGGGTCTCGAACTCGAGATTTTTAACATGCAGCACCAACATAGTGAGATCCAACGCTTAACCATGGCCATACTTTAACGCATGATTACAAGTATATATAAATATCCTATTTCATCTTTAATTGTTAAATATATTCTATTTCTAAAATGACAATATTCATTGCTAAATATGGTAAATAGACACATTTAAAGTAATTATGAACGATACTTTACATCTAATATCTTCAGAATAAATTTTCTAACGAATATCCCCAAATATCAAACAACATAAATTTGAATGCGTGTTTAAATCTATATGACAAATCTTTATATCATCTTTTAAAAATATTCCATTTCCTTTACCAGGTTTCAACATTAAAAGATCAGCTTTCTCAAGAAATCAGACGTCGTCAACCATACAGTCGAAAATAAAGGATAGCATACCATACAGACATAACTAGAGACCATATGTTTATTTATATACCCTGATGGGACAATAGAGTGCAGATCGTATTCGCGGCAATAAGCATAAAATTATGATAAAATTAAACGGGAAATTCAAGAAAAAAAATTTGAAAATAAAAATTTCAGCTACTGCCTTGATACCGTCCTTTAAAATAATTTACCAAGCTGGAATGGATGTGCTGAAAAAAATTTGATTTTTCAAAAATGACAAATTACAAAGTTGAAATATTTTTTCCCATTCACTATTTTTTAAAAAATGAATTAAATTATTATGGTATACTTCTTTAATTTTATTGATGCCTTTAATATTAACAAAGAGCCCTGATATTTTCAACATGGTATTTATATATTCTTGTTAAAAACGCAGTTATGGCTCTGGTATGATCACCACTCAAAAAATGTAAATTAGTACGTGGCACTGTACAGACTCGCTAAAAAAAACATTAATTCATTTAATTGGTTTTTTTCAATAATGCTTTGTATAATTATGATGAATTTGGATATTATAAATAATTAGACGCTATTCTCTATAGGATTATATACTGAAACTACATATAAAATTTTTGTATATTGTATTTTTTTCGATATGAATTTCTTACAAAAAGTATTTTAGCCGATCAAGCGTGATATGTACATAACAAAGTTATTGGTCGAAATTAGTTCCTATAACAAATTCTTTTTTACGCTTGGTATACGCATGATCCACCCTGGATCCAGATATATTTGCACGATAAAACTAGCATACTGCTATCTTGCACGCTTTATTTCCGTATGTAGGCACGTTATTGAGATAAAAAAAAATGTAAATTTATATTATTTTCTAATTCCACCGTAATTTAGAATATTGATTTTGAAAATCAAGAAGATTTTCCGAATATTTTTATTAGTACTAACAAAAACACTATTCCCATTATACTTTTTTCTTATACATTTATACTACCCACTTTCTTCAAATTAATTTATGTTATGAATCGGCCGAACATGGTTTGCCGTTTTTGGGAGGGATATGTATGGCCAATTGATGACTGGAAAATTTACAGAAAAATTATTTTAATTCATATCCGGTTGTTCTTTGGCCATACATACCCATACTTTGGTCATAAAATCAAGGGAATATATTTTGAAGCTTATTTCAACTCATTTCGTCAGCCACGCTTGTTTTATGGATTTTGATATACATATCAAGTGTGGCCGATTAATATGAAGTTGATTTGTACATAGCCAATAGAAAATTAGAAAATCAATTTTTGTTTTATGTTGTAACGAACACAACTGTGATACGACAACATCCTTTTTTATATATGATCATGCATGACCAGTTCATTTTGAGCACAATTTACGATCGTTTTGAACAGAAATTTCAAAATTTTATACCTTCTGAAAATCAGTAATTCACTGTATTATTTTTTCTCAAAATTCGTAGTTTTCGTAAGATTTAGTGGATGAATACATTTTATATTGAAGCATTGTGACGTCATGATGGCGATCTACTTTGTTGACGACAAATTGTAGATAAATATTAAAACAAAATTGTTGTTCTTCTTTCCGCTGTTGTTGTTATTATTGTTATAACTATTATAAAAAATGTTCTTGTATCGTATTTTCTACCCCCATTATTATTTTGTGTACCGTATATTTTGTAGAAATGAAATAAATCACTATTTTCGATTATTCGTTTTTATTTCTTTGATGAGAGAGATTTTGTTCAGTGATATTCGTTCTTGTAACCTCGTTGATCGCATTTGGGGTTATTAATTCTATGGTTCAAAGTTTCATACCCACCGCTTTTCTCATTCTTATCTTGATATGATATCGAATCAACAGTGCTTTCAAAAACTCAGGTGTCTGTTTGGGAGATCGTTAATCTAAAATCCATCAAGTTGAAGCAAAAGAACAATTGCAATAAAGTCAACGAGGTAAACAAATCACAATCAATTTCCTTTAAATTAATGTAGTCATCGCGAATGGTACCTAGTTTAAGCGTTCCCCAGAGAAACGCAACGAAGGGACAGAGGATCCAGTTTAAGAATCTCTGATCTAAACTAGGTAGAAAACAAGAGAGCAATGCTCAAATATATTGACACAAAGGCCAAAACAAATCTTTTACATTAACGGTAGCCTAACCTCAAATTAACAAAAAACTCCTGTCGTCGAGTACTTTACCTTCCACAGAAACCCACTTCAGTGAGCTACCGGTATCAAATAACTTCCGACTTTCGTGTAGCACGAATTCGCAAAATCGAAACCCACGAATAGAAATAAACCAGTAACAAATAAAGCAATCGCCTTCTAGCGACAACAACAATATTTAACCACTGAAAATTTCAAAGCAATTAGTCCAATAATTAAATCGATAATAATAACAAATCCATCCATATCTACACTTCGGGTCCAATACCATTCTATCTTTCAATCGTTTCGTGAATACTGGTGTTGTTACCTCACTCAAAATGTCGAGATGTTACTCAAAATAAATTCCTAATCGATTAAATATTTTGATGGTAACCCGTAATATATAAAATACGTACTATAGAATAAATATACAGACTTAACCGCTAATAAATTTTGAGTGAGCGAAATGACATTTGCAAATATTTCTTAAATTTTATAGGAATTTAGACACCAATGTACGACTTGAAAGTTTGAAATTTCTAACAACTTTTGATTTTGGGGAATTCAAAATTTTGAATCAACTCAGGAGAAACTAAATGATATAAGATTTCGTTTTTGACTCCAGCAAAAACATTTTATTAAAAATATTGACTCAACAAAAATGAAAAAGTAATGTGATAAAAATTTAAATGCTATTTGTTTTGTTAAAATTGAATTCTTCAGTTTCCGTATTCAGTTTCTTGACGTTATCAAGAGATTAAAGCTATTAGCGATACCGGAGTTACACTTTGGGAGATGAAGCTGGTAAATTTTCACAAAAATAATTTAGTTTTAAGTAAGAATTGTGACGTCATAGGTAAAAAGAAAATGTGTTGGATTCGAGAAAATAATTGAATAAAATGGTCGATTCTACATATTTTAATTCCACATACATTTTTAATATAAATTTTTTTATGAATCTTTCATAAAATCTTGAAATGTAAACAATATATATATATCTCAGAGAGCTTAGAATCATTGATTAATTGGACGACGTAAAATAAAGATTTTGAATCCAGTCGAAATTTTTGGTAAAAAACATTTTGCTAAAAATCGTTTAATTTTTTTTCAATTGTGACGTCACAAATTTTTTGAATAGCTTCGTTTAGGTCTGAAATTGTGCTATATAAAGGGCAAAATTTGTCAGTTCCGGCTTAATAGCTAGTTTTTTTCCATTTTTTATAAATAGTAATGGCATATGCCAAAGATTCAGAAGCTGATATGACTCCTGCTACATCTGAGGAAAGCGTTGCCGTGCCCGATCCTTCGGGAAGACGGGCAAAAGGCCGCCACCCATCATACAATGTGATGGTGAAGCGCGCCATTGCCAGTCTGAAGAACAAGAATGGTGCTTCTTCCAAATCCATTGCGAGATACGTTGTCGCTCACTTCAACGTAAAGAAGAACCCATGCAAGAAGGCGGTCAACAGATGCCTTAAACGTATGATCAGTGGGGGATTCATTTACAAAAACAAGCGAAATCTTTATAAACTGACCGGAAAGGGCAGAAAACTGAAGGGAAAGAAGCGAAGGCGTGGTCGCCGGGGAGTCAAAAAGGCGGGCCGCAGACGACGACGCAGACGTGGCAGGAAGGGTAGAAAGGGAAAGAAAGCAAGAAAGGGAAGGAGACGAAGAAGGCGACGTGGCCGCAAAGCACGCAAGGGACGCAAAACACGCAGACGAAGAAGAAGACGACGCACGACCAAGAAATCTAGGCGTGCGGGAAGGCGAAGGAGGCGTGGAGGAAAGCGCAGCAGGCGAGGACGCAGGCGAAGAAGACGCTAAACTCTTCTAACTTTTTTACATTGGTCTCCGACTTCATCAATTTGGCTCCATAAATGAAACACTATTAACGAATTTGGCTCCAATAAAACATTCCGACAACATATATATATGTGCTTGCTATAGATAAAGGGAGATCGGGTAGGGAAGGGATAATAGGTTTAATAGGATTCAAGGATTATGCAGTCGCAGATAGGACACTTAGTAACAGAGGAGCTTAGCGAAAAACATAGTGATAGTAGGTTTCATTGGGTATATGGTTCAGGGTATTAAGGTGTCCCATAGCAAAAGAAGAGGTTAGCGAGAAACATAGGAGACACGTCAGACTTATCGCCCCTCCCCAGGAAAATTGATGCTCTCATATTCACGAGCTTAGAGCATTGGGTCATCTTGACATTAGAGGATAGAAGCGTTATTTCTTGAGTCTGACGTAAACGAAGGTTATTTATCATCCTAAATATCAATATAAAAATCAGCGTAAGTCCCGAAGTATGTGAACCAAGATGGCGGACACCAGAACGTAGTATGTGTACCAGGTTAGGGTTAGGCCATAATTTCAGGTACAAATACTACGGGAGTCACTTGGCTAGTCCCCGAACTTGTAATATAACTAAAATGAGGAAAATTGGAATAAAATTATGGCCTAACCCTAACCTAGTACACATTCTACGTTCCGGTGTTCGCCATCTTGGTTTACATACTTCGGGAGTTCCAAAATCTGACGACGGCAAACACAATGTACATGGGTATCAAATAGATGTTTTGAACTTATCACTAAATCAACTCATTTATCGCAGAATGGCGGATAGGATTTGATGACTTTCATTGTGACGCATTCAGTTTGAAAACTTTCTTGAAGTAAATTTCAGTAGCATATCAAAACATAACATGTCAAAGTAGAAAGGACAACTTTTTCATTATAGTAATTTAGCGTTAAATTCTGAGACAAACACTGAGTTACAATAAAAGCAATTTTATTTATCAACTAGTTATACCTCCCATAAACCAATATATAGCTTTACTTTTATATACTTCGTAGTCGAATTTTGCCGCAAATTCGAGGCATTGACATTTATTCAGCATGAACACACATTTTATAGGTTGAAGCCTGCCCACGATATCATTAAACCATATACATTATACACGTTTCGATATAGCTAAAATCTTACCACAATATATAAGTCAGTAGGAAATGACAATAAGAGTGAAATACTAAATATATTATATGGAAACGAAAGTCAATTGACTAACCGTATGACCGATAACCCATTATTCAAAAGTGGTGGGGCAATATTCATGGAAATAGTAAAATTCGAGCTTCATATAGGACACAGGAGATATTTGAAAAAGAGTAGAAAAATATACTTAAGAAAAAGTATCAATAATTTGAGAACGAATGATCCGTTAATTTCGGAATAATGCAATTTTTTACAACGACAAATATCACCTCAACAACAACACTTAGGCCTATTTAGAAAAACGATAACTATATTTTGTGTCCAATACACAAAGTGAAATACACTTGAAGTGGAAGAACAGACTCGTATTGTAGAAATATCCGCCGTTACCAGGGAGAAGCAGTAACTTAGCGTCCCAAGCAGTAGTGAGATTCAAATTTTTTGTCAGCCGGTTCCATCAAAAAAGTCATATTTTTCAGCCGGTTTTGTTACAAAAGTCATGTTTTTTTTTCAGTAATGCTAACCGGTTTGCTGATCTCTGAAATTCCGTGAGACGGTTCTATAGAACCGGTGAGAACCTGCTGAATCCCACAACTGGTCCCAAGTGCCCGCTATTAGGAAATATGTTCACGTCAAATAGCCGAGTTAAGTTAGCTGATTAGAAACTAGAAAGATCGGTTGATCAATTAGACTGCTAGGATCAATCGGGTTATTTCTTAGACCTGTGCGCACTCTTTCGTAGTCTAGGTTGTATATTTAACATAATTCGATAAAAAGAACAGAGATTGTTGTAGGATAGTTGTTTAATCGAATGGCAGCGACCTGGGAATATTTCAGAACGAAAACATGCAAACAAATGAAAGCTAGGCAATGGCGTTAAATTAAACCAGTCGAGCGGTACTATCCTAGAGGTGTAAACACTATGGTGCCAAAGATTCCCCTCGAATGCAAGGGCATACACTGATGGCCATGGTATAAAGAATTTCAGATTGGGCCTGACCCATGATCGTCACGCACATGGGTTGATATAAACTGCATAAACTAGCAGCTCCATGGGTGGGTCTATCGTAAAATTAAACAGTCAGGTGCCAAGATTCGATTCTTTCGGCATTCGATAAAAAAACCACCACTTGCTCAACCCATAGCCAAGCTTAGAGTGGGCGACTAATTAAGTTAGTATCCGGTCGAGGCCTGAACTGCTTTTTGTATGGATTTAATTTGTTGCGACTTTTGAGTATCCGCTTTCGCGAACAAACTTTGCATTTGACAAAATCCTACTGAAGGGCGGTAGCCATTGCTTCGTTCCATAGGCGTTGAATGAGCCAAATCCTGCCATCCTGCCAAATCAGCTTTCCAGCTAACCCCGGATGAAGAAATCGGAGCTGCCGACAAGGTGCGTATACTCACCAAGTTATCATTCGCAAAAACATAAGCTGCTGGGAATAAAACCAGGCACAGGCACATTACAGAATTCCCTGTAGCGTCCTTGAGGACAAGACCGGTGTTCAACAAGGAACCAACCCTGCCATTAACCCAATCGGAAAAGACCGAAGAAGTTGATGCAGAATAACCTGGCATCCTCCAGACAGCGATTTAGCAGGAGGCATTGGACAAACAAAATCACTTTTCACTCATAAAGATTTAATATCATTCTAAATCATTTATAAACTGAAGAGAACAAGTTCACAAAAGTAATCCGCGTAAATGTGGATCACTCAAAACCATCAGACTCCGACTGCGCTATTGCAAAACACAAAACAGACATCAAAATTTTCGGCGAACTGACGTTAGAGAAATCCGTGTTTTGTGCAGAAAACTCTTTTGATATCCTATGACAAAAAATGATTACACCTCGCGTATAAAGTAAAATTTTTGTATATTTTTCATTTTCATCTTTTTTCTCTTCTGAAAACTATACGAGAATCGAAAAAAACAAGACAAAATAATATTGTTTCACAGATATAATTGTATCAGATTGCGGTATAGAAATTGTCAGATTTACTGTTATTTCTAAGTAATTGAAATCATCATTTCGCGCACAGAACGATGAATAAGAGGTGAGCCACTATCAAGAATCAAAAATGATAAAGATTGCCAATACTATGTTCGTGGCAATCACAGAGAAATACCAGTAAACGTAACAATTTGTTAAAGTATAACGAAAAATCACAAATAAACTAGTTGGTATCAGAATAAGAAGTTGATTTTGCGATGGAAGTTGAATTTTGATAAAACAGCGGAGTGGGAAAAGGAAAAGTTTTTAATAATCGATGTAATTTAATATCATATAATTTTCTGCAGAAATAAACTAAAGATTTATCTGTATCGACAGGAACGTCCAAGTGCGATTTTCTACTCTGAAGTGAAGTCGATTTTGCAGGAACAAGATTTCGTCCATCGACGATGCATGCTTGGTCCGATTTCTCTGACAAAGCTTGAAACCTGAAAATATAGTAGAAGAAATGACTCAAAATATCCGTAAAATACATTGTTTTTCGAGTAAATACAATATCACATAATCCGATCATGTTATATCATTCAACGAAGGCGTTACCTGGCTGCAACCAGGGGATGTCCATACAGTTTTGTTCAAACTAAATATCTTACTCCGTTTCAAGAGCATCATCGAAATTACTGTTTTTATGCAAAATCGGCCTTTTCGCAGTGGAAACCTTAATTCCATAATCTTTAACTGAAACATATCCAAACTTTAACTATTGCCGGTAAATACAGGGACTATGTTTCAACGATCAATTTCAAATCTTTAGGTCAAATTTTCAGTACGAGACGGAAAGGGTTACTTTACTTTTATGGGCCATTACTTTTTTTTTCAATTTTCTTCCGAGTTCTCATATTAATTTCACCCCAGATTTTATCGTTTTGTATGATTCACGGGCACGGTTTCAAATGAGATTCGATACAACTCTTGACAACCGGTTCTTTTATTTTAACGTTTGGATGGAATTTTGCCGGCCTTGATGCGACCATATTATTCATTTAACCTTGGGAGTCCTTTTATTTGAGCATTGCTTTTTTGTTATTCTATAGCATTGATTTTTTTAGCGCCACGTCAAACAGAATTATAATAGTTCTCCACGTTGGCGTGCGTTTTTATAAATTGCTCAACGTCAGCGTAAGACGTGTACGATTGCCAAACGTACGTCGTTCGCAAATTGCAAGTATCTTTCATTTTCTGCTTCAATGCCACTTAATTTATAGAAATATAAGTACCGTTTGCGTAACTACGTGAGCCGCGTGTCATCACGAAGGCAGACGACTACGCCTTCGATTTCACAGATGTATGACGATGGTCAGATACTATATATAGCTTGCAATTATGTTGGAAACGCGTAATATTAGAATTTTGAATTCTGCGTGATTCATTCTTAAAGGCGTGGTCAATTCAGGCGCACCAAAAATAATATACTATAAAGCGTAAACCACATATTACGGTTGGGTCGGGCTTGTGTGTGTTTAAAACAACATTATCATATGGGTATGTGAACAAACAAATCGTCGCAATGTCATTTATTACAAATAACACAGAGTAGATTAGAATCAGAGCCTAGTAAAAGTTTTTTTTGGCGCTTTCGTAGTGTGTGCACCAAGATAGCCTAACCTGGTACACATACTACATTCCGGTGTCCGCCATCTTGGTTACATACTACGGAAGTACCGTTTTTTTTAGTTCGCGTCTTTCGCAATAACACATTTGTTAAAGTTATTTTATCGTAAAGGAATTTTTCTTGTTTTTGGGGAGGGAAATTTCACATTTTATTTGCGTGTAGTATTACTAATATCGTCCAGTTATTATTAGTACTATTGTAATACATACATATATATAGACAAATCATAAACTATTCAAACAATACAAAAACCAGAGTACCAGTTGAGTGTATCACTGGCTAATACTCCATTAAAGAGGGCATATAACACATATAACAAATGGCAACAGTCTATACGTTACGCGGAAATAATGAGTTTCAAATCAGGCACAGAAAGGAATGTTTTGAAAAAGGTTGGGGACCACTGTTCTAATCATTTGAAGCTATTTGCCAACAGTTGTATATTCTAACCCTTCAGTATGCAGGTTGGATACAATTTAGAAAAACATAAATCAAGATTTAACTCGATAAAATTGGACATGTATCTGCTTTGATTTTTCGAAATCTTAATTCTTGAATACCGAATCAATATAATCATCCTAGGATGGATTTAACTGTGTGTAAACAAATAACAGTGTCAATTTTAAAAGCCATAAGATATAATTACCTGCAATATTGATTATATGTTAGGACAAAGCATTTATCTTCCACACATGCCACGCTTATTTCATCTAAATGACGAGATGCAAACAGTTCGCTATCATTGTATCGAGATGATAATACGCGAGAATCTTCTGTATGTTCTGGTCTAAAATAAAAATAAGAAAATTAACGATTCTGTAATTATTGGGGAATGAAAAACTGCAGGGTAATATAAGAAGTGTGAGGCGTTTGAGTTTAAACCCAATTCTATAAACTTTTCCTATTTATATTGTATAGCATTGTATTACGACAATATTACAGAAATTAACATATAGAAAAAGCTTTGTTTATGAAAATAATTTTAACTGTTCCATTTCAAATACCGTATATGTTTCAATAATATTAATAATGGGAGGACATACGTGGCTTACCAAGAGAGTGATAAATACTATATGAAGTTGGCACCTATGACGTTGATACGCACTAATCACATTGGGTACTTAGGGAATTATTGTCGTTTTTTGAGGGAAAGCGTAATAACAGTCCATGACCAACATAATAGACATATTTGAATGACGATTGCGTCCTTCCACACTTTTCGTTCATAACGTAATTTGTGACCTATAACTTACGTCAAACTGTATTTCCGTCTCTAACTAAGTAGTATTAAAACAAAACACTACTAGGCCTAAAAAAACACATCGCCACGAGTTTATAAAATTGGGTTGGCAATGCTGAATAGGAAATAATACTGTGATTCAAAATCTTATAAGTGACTTTATATCTCGAAATGCCCGCTTGGTAGAGCCTTTCTCCGAGCAATATTAATAAAAATAGTTTTATTTTATTTTTCTCAAGAAAACCCAATTCAATGGAATCGTTTGGGACAATCCAGCAAGTCAAATTCTTAGTCCTTACGCACTAATGGAAATGGGGAACCAAAACCCCGTTACATAACATGTATCATCTACGAATCGAAGAAAAATCGGGTATAAAAATAAAACCCCCATCACGGTCCATAACCGACCTAAGTGAAACTATGAGATACCATGAAATAAAATTTTGATCGTCAGTAACAACGAAACGTGGGAAGAGGAATTGCGTCATCGTGGTGTTGGTCATACAAACAATACCAATTCAGGGAATTCTGTTTGCTAGAACTAGTAAATTTAACATGATGTAAATTGTGTATTACAAATTGTGTTTTACACTATTTACAGTAGCCTATCGTAATACTAATTTAGGTATAATATATTTGAGGGTTGTGGAATTCAATTTATATGTGGTAATGAAAAAAAATATAAAATAGAGTTGTGGTTGATAGTGAATTTATGTAATGAGCAACATGAAACAACATTTCCAGCTTTCGATGATTTATTCAAATCATTGGCATTACGGTATATGGATCCCCACTAGAGCCCGAGGGAGTAATTTCTCAATCACAGTTTATGGAAATGATTAACTTTTTTTGCGCATTTTCTCATATTATGACGTAATAAAGTGCAACAGGATAGAAAATCAGAACATACCATGAGGAAAAAATACTTCTATTTCAAATGAATTGGTGAATAATGATACAGGCATTTCACAATAGTTGGCCACTGTTTTTTTTTTTCAACACAAAATGACATGAACGGAAGATGGCCTTAAAAATGGGTGTTGTTGATCTATTGCAATAAGAATAACCTACCATACACGAATGAATTGCTTGCTATTCACCAATTCGAAGAATCGATTATGCAATATATTACGAGAGCTTTTCACGATTCCATCGCGAATATAGATAATTGTAACTAAAAGGGGGAAATTTGTACTACTTGAACGATTTTCTAGAATCGGATAAACGTGAACTTGGTTTTGACAAATTTTTTGGACATCCCTCCAGAAAAAATATTCTATTTTTAAATTCTAAAAAAGAAATTCCACCATTCATGACATTTTTAAAAACTGAGAAAATCCGTACCATCAGCGTTGCGAGCAACCTAAAATAGGCTAAAAAAAAGTCACATAAAAATATGTCAGAAACGGCATCTTAAAGCAGTCACACATTGGGTACATCAGCAGATGCTTGCCCAGGGCTAGAGTGAGTCACATCAGTACAATTTTAAATATTTCTTTTGATGCGCTGAACGCTAAAAATAATTGCCTCGGTGAATTTCAGTTTTTGAACTATTTCGTTGTTCGTAATTTTTACACCACAGCTATATTATATACCGTATATTGTGTATTATCAATTAAATGAAAGAGCTTCAATATACCAACTAATATTGACAGACTATTAATTTAGACTGAGAAACAGAACTGTGGCTTGATATGCTTACGACAATAGAGTAAAGGTCATTAACATTAAATGACGTGATAGTTCATGAAGCTATTTCGAGTACATTATTTCTGATTTTAGCAAAATGGTTTGCAGCAATATTGTCTATATGATTCAATATTTTTGATTTGCATATTACCGTTTTTCTTGGCCAAAGAATATGAATATGCCTGTGGTTATGTTCGTTGAGCCATCATATGAATCGAATACTTGCTTTGATAAAATATTACATCTTACCGCACAATCTGTTTTCGACTGTTTGTATAATACGGTGGGTAATATGCAAATGTACTTGGTTTTGTATTTTTGATTCGTGTCACATCATTTAGGCAATAGAATCACAGAGTTGCCATTTCGCCATACGCAACAAAGCTATTCGTGCTCATTCCTCTTATTTCGTTTGGTGATATAACAATCTCGGGCTTGTGATTATGACACGTAACACAAAGTGTCACGTGACAATTTCGAGAATTAGTCGCAATAGGTTCTATAAAAAAAAGACTAAGCGTCACGTGGTTCTATATGTGGATATATGTCACGAATTCAAAACAATGAATACATTGATTACCCTTACTGAGCAACTTCTATAAAACGCTCAATTGCATGAAATATTGACCCAGGCCAGGACAAGCAAAGAAGTAGATATATCAATAATAAAACAGCCGCGCTCTCGCTTCCTCTCCCAAAAGGCTCGTGAGAAGTACAAACAAAAACGCATTGGTATGTTTCGCAGTACGCATTGGTATGTTTCATTACAGAAGTCACATTATATTAATGTCTGCCTTAGTTACTGATATGTAACTCATGACAGCGCCGGAATTAATCACTGTAAAAAGAAAATATGTTGAAATTGAACATTTGAAATTTTCCCTATATTTCAGTCTTCAAAATACTACAATTCGATTCTTATATCAAGTTACAAACGTAAAATAATATTTTCGATATGAAATCGCAGTTCAAATATATTCAACACGGGTGTTGTCGACCGCGTTAGAGACTCAAGCGTCGAAATATTCAAGTTCACATAATGCAACCCTTATTCGGATGTTTTGTGAAAACGTTAAGTAAAGGAATTAAAAGAAACGTTGAGTACTAACTTAAAGGAATATATATATTTTCATCAGGTGAGATCACGGGCAATACTCAAACTTTCCCAGCTTTCCCTTTTTAATACACACTAAGCTCGTTATTAGCATACCAATAACCGTAAAATTACATCTAATGCAAAGAAATCCCAGAATTCCATTTATTAAATGAATATAATGTCACAGCATAGGTATTTTGAGACAACCCCCTCGAAGTAATAAATCTATATATATATCGACTTAGGTAAATCTTCTAAAAGGGCCCAATACCACCAAATTCTAGTTAAATTATCGATTTTTTATCGAGTACAATTTGCCACGAACCACTCGACATTAACGTTAAAATCGTACTTCAACCACAAATCATTGCGTACAGAAACACGATAATGACGAGATACATTATCGATATTGACGTACAGCGACTGACGCAAACGTAAATATTGACGCAAAATGTTAGACTTTCATGTTCTGTAATATACTAATAAGACTGTCTCGCTATTACGTCTCTATTTATAATGGCAATCGGTGGATTTAGTATTGATAAATAATGCACGTTTGCACGCACCATGTAGCCAGGTTTAATTTTAAGTTTGGTATATTTTTCTATGCACCAGTCTTTCATCGCTTTTTTTGATGTATTTCAATTAAAATGCGTTTCACGTACTAACTTGATTTTAGAAATTTCCGCACCTTGGCCAAGGATCAATTAACACGGCAACCAAAGTTATGACAAAACTAATAAATCAAGGACTTTTTCTAAACCAAGAGAGAAAGAGCCAGTTCGATGCTTGGGTTATAATAAAAGATTGTTTCGTTCGCACGTTCATGTACTTAAATAATTTATGTTCTAAAATCGCACCGATGGAGGAAATCAATGCATAAAGTAAATCGAACAAGCACGGTCGATCGAGTGCTGACCACGAATAGCGTGCGATTTGAAGTTTCGGCCACTCAAAATCCACGCTTGGAAAAATGGCCAAACAAAGGATAATAAAGTAGAGATCCTGATTAATGATGAGTCATGCTAGGCAGCCAAAACATGAATCATTAATAAATTGTGGTAAATTATACACTTTGGCAATCGAATGTTCCAGTAAATTGCGACTTCCGGTGAAATACTTGAATTAAATCTCAATTAGATTAATATATGTGCAAAAGGCCAAAACAAGGACAATGAGCATTTATAAAAAAAACTGTTTATGATTCAAGATCTTCGCTTGAAAGGTTCGAACAGATTCCCCAAATCTGTTTTCAAACGGAACGATACTGTTACAAAGAGAATTCCCAATCCGGATTAAATCCAGATAGAAAGAGACACCATAACATACAATGCAAAATCTGGCGCTTTAAGTAATTTTGACTGTCGAACACCTTACATAAGCCAAAAGATCATTGCTCAAATATGTGGACACGAAAGTGCAATTGGCACATGATAGTTATATAAAAAAAAATTAAGACGTGAGAAAATTTTGTGTAAATAGAAGTAATATTCTTCTTGGAAGGATTTCTATTTTGTAATGTAATTTTGAAGGTATTATCTCAGAATTTACAGTTGTGTTATCACAAACACAAACGACCCATAGGTTCACTTCGTGTCCCATATTGTGGTTGGAAGAAGACGAAAGTGTTAGAACAAATGGACAACTATTTCTACAATTAGTATATTATATTATTATCTGCAAAATCTTGGGTCATCGAACGTACAGCACGAATCCTTCTTTCGTCAGATGGCATAGGCTAAAATTGGGATTCGCTCAACAC